ACTTAGTCTTTGATGCTTAGCGGGATGTGTGCTGCTGATTTCTGCATGGCTGCAGTGACTCTAGTATGATGCATCGCCTGTTTGTTTTTATCGCTTGATATCAGCGGCTGTCGCGTGATGTCAGCGGCTGTCGCGTGATGTCAGCGACTGTGTTCGTCTCGTAAAGTCAAAGGCTGAGTATTTATCTCGTGAAGTCAACGTCTGAATGTTTATCTCGTGTAGTCAACGTGTGAGTGTTTTTCTTGTGAAGTCACCTTCTAAGTTTTTATCTCGTTAAGTCAACGTCTGAGTTTTTAACATTTTAACCTCACATTTCATTATTATATACAATTATACACAAGTAAAGTATGCACTCATTCTCCTTATTGAAGGATAGGCTGGATGTAGATTTATTTGACTGAACCATTATTGTAATCCAGACTTTCATGTACGAGGGAGTCTAAGAGGTCGTGTCAACCTCTGAAGGGTTATTAAGGCCACCACAATTAATCACTCACGAAGTCAACGGCTGTATTTATCTCGTGAAGTCATAGTCCAGGACTAAAGTAAGGTGAACAAAATCCAGGACTAATCTAAGCTTAACATAGTCCAGGACAAAAAGTAAACCCCTCAGTGTATATACACAAATAATCTGGTACACTTCTCATTGCATATATCGAAGGACTTGGGTTTACAGTGTAGCGCCTCTGCAGTACCACTCCTGCAGTCACGAACACGAACATGCTATGAAACCCGCTGTACATCCATCCAGTACAAGTGAACACCTCTCGATGTGTACGAATTTAAGAACCCGCCCGCGGGGGGAACACATCATCACCGTCCCCACTAAACCTCCCTGAACATCCAGCTGAAGAGAGTTGTGGGAGTTGCTTCCCGACTCATAACACGAGGGACTGATGAGCCACTGTGTGAGTGTTATGAGTATTATCTGAGTGGCAAACATGACTTCCTTGCTCATATGTTGTTGTTGTTTCAGATTTAGCTACTCAGAACGTCCATGTAGCACGGGCTATAGTGAGCCCGTAAAAACTTCCTTGCTCATATATGCACAATATATATATATATATCCCCTCACGCGTGAGGGGTGGGAGCCTGACACGAATATATGCATAAACCATACCAGTACGTGATATAATTATTCAATTGATACATTGTTATATTAGTTATCACACACAGAAGCTTGAATGATATCATCAGATTGGTTTCAAATATCGATCTTGAATTATAGTTATACCTAGTTCTTTTCGTTTATTCAAAACTTTTGATAGTTACTGATAGTTGATACTGATAGTAAATACTGATTTTGATAGTTACAACCGAGCATTAATTTTTAAGAACTGAATTTTTTACACTTTTGTTCAGTCAATCAATATATTTGCTATCGCTATAGTACTAAGGTCCTGTTAGGAAAGGTTTTCATAATAATATTAGTTATCTTATAAAAGCAAAGTATCTTATTTTAATTATTCCAATATTCGTGTTCAGCTACAACACCGAGAGCCTAGAACCTGTCTTTACAGTGTTGATGACACTTTTAATTGAAATTAAAGTACAAGGAACTGAGATTCCGAGGTAATTGAAAGAGGAGACGAACTCCTACCCTCGTGGGAGACCATCTTTATCCTCAACACTCCCAGCATCATCTTTCATCCCTCAACACACCCTTCATCTCAACACTGTTAGCATCATCACACCCTTCATCTCAACAGTCCTAGCATCATCACACTCTTCATCTCAATACTCCCAGCATTATCACACTCTTCATCTCAACAGTCCTAGTATCATCACACTCTTCATCTCAATACTCCCAGCATTATCACACTCTTCACTCAACAGTCCTAACATCATCACACTCTTCATCTCAACACTCCTAACTTCATCACACTCTTCACTCAACAGTCCTAACATCATCACACTCTTCATCTCAACTACTCGTCTAACCTCGTATCCCATCTCAAGACTCTAAGACATCACATCACTCCTCCTGAAGTTATTCCTTCTTTCATTTCCCTCGCCGCTCCTGTGAATGAAGGGAAGAATTTATAACTCCTTTCTAAGGCATGTGTAAACCAGTTTTGAGAACAATTTGAGCCCGCTAGGTCACATACCTCTGAGGCACATGGTCAATGACGTGGCAGGAGACACAGGTGCATCGAACATTAACCAATAACTCCCTTACATATTTGGTGTGTCCAGCTTGTAGCACCTGTTATCTCAGCAGGTGTTTTATGGAGGTCAGCGTTCGCATTTGGATTAGATATAAGGCAAGTGAGTCTGCTGCTGGAGCCACAGTTCCCAGCTGCCCTTCAGGTGTAGCGAACGTGAGTGCCGTAGATTTGACACCACGTCCTGGAGTGGTTACAAAGTATCTGCGAGCTAGAACGATCCCAGCAGGATCAAGACGCCAGCTACCACAAGCTCGGCGCCAATATATTCTGACCAATAGCCAATCCCAAGAGCGAGACAACGGCACCATGAAGTCTATGTATTTGGTGATGTTCTTGTGCGTCGCCCTGGTGAACGCGGAGGACAGCGGGACCGGATCCGGGTCCGGGCCCGCGGGAACACCACCACCCTCCAGCAACGGAGGAGCTACTGGTGAGGTATGTCATGGAGTTTATTCTCTTGTTGTGTTTCTTCTGCTGGAGACAACCAGTCACGTCAACCAGAAGAACAGTAACGTCAAGTCCTGAGACAGTCCTGAGTCCTAATGGTCGTAGCCGTGTGTATAAAACTGAGGCGCTAGGTTGCCTATGCAGTGCGTCTTGGAAAGTTACTTTACTCTGAGTCTTGGGCTGCTGACAGTGTCAGACGCCTGTAGAACAGTTGGTAGGTCTGTGGCACCGATGCTGTCTAAAGAATATTCTTCCTTGTGTTTCATACTTGTATATTTATGCAGTATATATTTCCTAGTGTTTTTCATTAGGTATCTTCACGTTTAGCTGGTACCTGTGAGAGCCTTACCTCGGTTAATACCATTTTTTCAGCATCTGTTTGTTTGGGCGTCCAGGGAAAAATTGTTGCCTTTATTTGTCTCACATTATTTCTGATTGTTGAGGGTTAGTTTACTTCTTGTCAGTCTTGTATTAGTAGTTTGTTGATGACTGGCTAGTTAGCTGAATGCTGTAGCTCGTTAGAGGTTTCTTGATGACTGTTTAGTTAATTGTATGTAATTACCTGCTTGTGGTGTGATGATGACTGTACTTAACTGTATTTGATACCTCATTCGTGGTTTCTGTATTGTGTATTGCTTGTTTTGCTTCATCGTTACTTGGTACTTCAGTGTCGCGGGTACACAGCAGAGGTGTTGGTTTCCTTCATGTCAGAAATGCCGTGGAGTCACTGTTGTGCATCTATGATAATAGGAAGTGTTAGGGTGAATTTGTAAACAGATTTTTATTGTGTTTTGTTAAATTTTAGTCACAAAATTCTGGTTGTAATAGCTAATATATTTGACTGGAATCCATATGCCAGGTAATTCTGTTGTGAAGATGCTTGTCTCTTCATGTAAATATATATATATATATATATATATATATATATATATATATATATATATATATATATATATATATATATATATATATATATATATATATATATCGGCCGCCACAATAGCGTCTGATGATGATTTGTAAATTCTGCTCCAGTATCCCTATATATGTAATACGAAAGGTAATTCTTTAAAGTTTAATATTTGCAGTAAACTGTAACTCGCCATTCATGTTTTAAATTAATTTTTTTTGTGCCTGTTGATGTTCCTATGTTTTGTATGTGTAGATTTAAGTGTTTATCCTTCCATTATATTTTTAGAACAAATAGTTATTTTCATTGTTAATGCTGGAATATCTTTTAATTAAGGAATCATATTATAGGATACAGGAAACCTTGGAAAGGCGGGATCCAGGAGCTGGCAGTTAGATTCTGCGAGCACAAAAGGTACACACACACACACACACACACGCACACACACACACACACACACACACACACACACACACACACACACACACACACACACACACACACACACACAGTTAGTAAATGGAATGCATTAGGAAGTGATGTGGTGGAGGCTGACTCCATACACAGTTTCAAATGTAGATATGATAGAGCCCAATAGGCTCAGGAATCTGTACACCAGTTGATTGACGGTTGAGAGGCGGGACCAAAGAGCCAGAGCTCAACCCCCGCAAGCACAATTAGGTGAGTACAATTAGGTGAGTACACACACACACACACAGTAAGCAAAAACATACATTTACAGATAAAATCAGGACAGGTTTTTTTTATCAAAGTGTAATTAATATTGTTAATTCTTTGCTTGTCTCTTGCAGATGGTTGAGCTGGAGACACAGAAGACGAGGGATAAACTAACAAAACAAGAGGGGACATAGGAAGAGTTTTGGCACTGTGCCATAGACAAAGTCACAGTACCGGTGAGGGAGTCACTGGCACTGTGCCATAGACACAGCACCGAACTCGGGGGACAGAGGAACTGTTCCATAGATACAGCACAGAGCTTGGGGGGTCTGAATGCACTGGTCCATTGACACAGCAGAACTCTGGGGACTAAGTACGCTGCTGTACAGACAAAGACGCAGCACCAGACACCAGAAGCGGAATACACCTCTTAGTGTATATACATTGTATACAACTATAATTGTATACAACTAATTATGTATGCAGGCTAAAATAATGCATCCAAAACATATTTTACAGTTTTCATGAAGCAAATATATTCTGATGATTTATTGTTCGTTTTCAGAGAAGAAAAATTTTGACTCATAAAAATTACGGTTAACCGAACTTTTTTTGTTTACTTTTATTTGCTTTTTTTGTATCTATCTTAGATGAGGATGGATTTAAAGTGGTTATTTCAGGGAGATTATTTATACCAATGAATATTAGCAACCTGAAACGGACACACGATTACAGCGAAGAAAGTGTCCATATGTTAACTGACTCTTTTTCACTGCAGGATTAAAATCTCTGTTTAAACTATCTTAGCATGTAATCTTTCATCCACCAAAATCCGGCGTAGCTCTAATTATTTGGCTTCTTTCTTCATAGATAGATTAACAACTAATCTACGACTGTTAAGTGTGTTAGGGAACAACGACGTGCCTTAATTTTTTATGATAAGAAAATGAACGTTTCGAATTGCAGTGGATTTACAACAAGATATCTATATTACTTTTTTTAGATGGATCACCATTGGATATAAGAGAGAGATCTCACGAATCCGACGAAGTCTTCATCTCTGACGAAACCGAAGAACTCTCATTAGAACATGGTAAGTTTCTTGGATCTCTCACACTCAATTTTGGTGGGAAAATACTGGTTTGGAAACAGGATTGTTTATATGTTTGTAAACTGGGTTGTTGTTGTTGTTGTTGTTTGAAAACAAGGGATACTCACAATTTGTCTTCGTATTGAATATATATATATATATATATATATATATATATATATATATATATATATATATATATATATATATATATATATATATATATATATATATATATATATATATATATATATATATATTGGTGTATACTGGCAGCAGGTTTTCTTTCAAACATGTTTCATTGAATATGACCGCATATTCTGTATTTATTATTTTCTGGTTTAGGGCTTCTATCCCTCTAACTATTTTCTTAGCATCAGGGCTTAATTGAAATAGGAGTTCTCCAAAACTCATTTTCGTACTTTTAAGGTGAAGAAAAGAAGTGATTTACTATAGAGTGTATTACACTTATTTGTATAATTTGCACGACGTTTCGAACCTCCATGGTTCATTCTCAAGTGAACAGATCTTACAATACTAGTTATATTTATACCCGCATTAGGTCAGGTGATGATACAATGAAGGTGAAAACATGGGGGATACATAAGGGATAAATGTGAGGTGAAACATAGAGGCTGCAGAAGGCTTATTGGCCCATACGAGGCATCTCCTATCTAAACACAAAGATTAATCCAGTGTAATTGGCCTGTTATGTTGGACATTGTCTTCTGTGTTGGCATCGATATGTTCTTGTCTTGTCCTTACTCTCATGGTGGGTAGAGTAAATAGTTCCGTGATTTGGGTGTTCATTGTAGGTCGCTCTATTCTTATGTGAATTGCCTCAAGAATTTGTAATCTTCTTGAATCTTGGGTTTTGTCTATTATGCAAGTATTCTTGTTCAACAATTCTCTTGTTAGAGTAATGTCATGGGCTATTGTTGACATTACTCCCATGACGCCCATGACATTACTCTAACAAGAGAAATGTTGAACAAGAATACTTGCATAATAGACAAAACCCAAGATTCAAGAAGATTACAAATTCTTGAGGCAATTCACATAAGAATAGAGCGACCTACCATGAACACCCAAATCACGGAACTATTTACTCTACCCACCATGAGAGTAAGGACAAGACAAGAACATATCGATGCCAACACAGAAGACAATGTCCAACATAACAGGCCAATTACACTGGATTAATCTTTGTGTTTAGATAGGAGATGCCTCGTATGGGCCAATAAGCCTTCTGCAGCCTCTATGTTTCACCTCACATTTATCCCTTATGTATCCCCCCATGTTTTCACCTTCATTGTATCATCACCTGACCTAATGCGGGTATAAATATAACTAGTATTGTAAGATCTGTTCACTTGAGAATGAACCATGGAGGTTCGAAACGTCGTGCAAATTATACAAATAAGTGTAATACACTCTATAGTAAATCACTTCTTTTCTTCACCTTAAAAGTACGAAAATGAGTTTTGGAGAACTCCTATTTCAATTAAGCCCTGATGCTAAGAAAATAGTTAGAGGGATAGAAGCCCTAAACCAGAAAATAATAAATACAGAATATGCGGTCATATTCAATGAAATATATATATATATATATATATATATATATATATATATATATATATATATATATATATATATATATATATATATATATATATATATATATATATATATATATATATATATGTCGTTGGTTTGATTAATTTTTGGATAAAGATGTTGGTCTTAATTTAACATATCTTAATAAAGCTTAATTCTTATGAATGAAACTCCTAAGGAAGGAAAACCAGACACCCATAGAACACCTTAGCAATGTAATTAACTTAGTGAAAACGTTTCCCCCGTCTGAGCTGTGGCTCTGAGTCTCTTGGGTGTAAATTAAGATAATTGTACAATGTCCGAAACTTTGCGTTTAAGGTCTTGATAAGGGGCATAGGCGAGCCGGAATCATTACACTTTCTCATTTATGCCCTACTTATTTAGTGTTAATTTAAACACAATAACACAAAACATTAAGAATAAAAGAAAGCTTGCAAAAAATATTCGTGCCAAGAAGAATCTTCTTTAAAGGACAATTAAGAAGCTTAACTGTTAAATCTTCTTTACAAACAGGTTGCCTCAAAACCGCAGCCTGCGACGCTGCCAAAGGAACGTGTCAAAGGGCAGCTTGCACTGTGCTACAGAAGAAGATCAAAGGAGGATGCACAGGCAGTGTGTGTCAGTGCTGTGCCCCCAGAGGTCAGTATCGTGGGTCACACAGGGATTGTTGTCTTAGATTCAGCTACTCGGAACAAAACGTTTAAGTATCACGGGCTATGGTGAGCCCGTAGTGAACTTACCCGGCACAGAAGCAGGGCTGTAACTACCAAACAGGGAGATAAGATTTTTTTTTCATAAGAAGAAATCACCAGGCTAGTATAACTAAATAGCACACTAAAGGGTAACGAGGACAATGATAGGAAGATAGGACATCAGGGATAGGAAGGAGGGAAGGAACGGTGCTCAATCACTTAGTCGGAACTCGAACGCCGTCCGCTGTACCAACCAGTCCAAGTGGTTGGGAATAACAGTAATATGAATGCTCAGATAGGCTGATGGTCTATCAGCAAATCTCGAGCTCCAGACCCACTTTCCTCGGGAAAATCAAGATTCATCAAGAATTTACCCAACCACTTACGAAACCTGTACATCTTTCCTTAATGATAGCGCTTTTGTTTATATTTATTAAACAATTTACGTGATTCGAAACTTCACAACCCGAGGTTATTATTGTTATAAGCAACTTCGTAGTGCCTCGAAGCTGATAAACGACTTAATAAATGTAAACAAAGCCACCATGATTGGTGAAAGATGTACAGGTTTCGTAAGTGGTTGCATAAATGCGTAATGATTCCCGACCCTAGAAGTAAGTTCCTAGTTGTGGCCAGCTGAGCCTGCCACCCAAGTGTGGTCGTCCACAGCTGTGACCAAATCAATGAGTCGTGTCATTATTGCAATGTCGTCACTACTCAACATAAGCGAGGATAACCAGCTGGGGAAACCATGTGCCCCAGTGCCAGCGCCGGGTATCGAACTGGTGCCACTAAACCAGTAGTAATCCAGATTAAAAAAAACACCCCTTTGAGAACAATCCTTTAGGGACGACAATGCTTCACTCTAGATGATTATTTGCACTATTAGAAACGGCTCATCCAAATGCTCTTGCTCTCAATGGCAAGTGAACCAGTATCATATAAATACTGTTATATCTTCAAGCACATACCTCCGCAGCAACTGTGCACCAGCTAACGTAATGTCTCTGCTCCCCCACAGGTTGTGACCCTCAACCTAAATGCAAGAAATTTGGTGGATTTTGTGCCCTAGCGTGCGGGCCCGGCCTGCAAGTGCTCCCAGGGGGCTGCACCGGAACGTGCAGCTGCTGTGTTAAACGTAAGTCCTCCTGACTCATGTGGTGCACTTAACTCCAGACTCCTGTGGTGCACTTAACTCCTGCGTGTGTCACCTCTGACGTGTGTCAGGCCTGGACGACTATGATATCACAAGTGTCTTGTCTCTTACAGCGTGTGCCACGTCTGACGAGTGTGAGGACTGGCATGGTGTCTGCCAGCGACAAAGGTGTGCCCCCGGACAGAGAGAGCTTGTAGATGCCTGTCCAGGACAAGGCTGTCGGTGTTGTTCACCTGCCGGTGAGTATTCAACTCAGGGGTTCCCGCTGAGGGTAATGATATTGTGTGTATCAAGTAAGAAATAACTTTCTAAGTGCTTCCTAAACCGCAAGTCAAATCCAGGATGAAGCTGAAAGACAGAAAGAATGTTTGGTAGCCACATTGACTGCTAATAGATACATTGATAATTCAGTGGGACGTTTTGAAATATGGATATAATTCTGAGAAATACATGTATATTAGTCATTTTAAGTTATTGAATTACTTTAAGTTGATATAATGATCAGTTTCTTTCTCCAAAAGCAATGATAATACATAAAAGCTGGAAGACACAGCATTATATGAATGATACTTCCCTCTTTAGGCCCAATACGTGACGCTGAAAGTAACAACACTGTTGGTGAGGTGATTGAGGAAGCAACTGGAGGAGAAGAGAGCGGTGTAGAGATCAACGTAGAGGCTGCAGTGACAGACCAAGAAGAAGAAGAAGAAGACGAAGAAGATAAAGAAGAGCCATAAGAGTTACACATATCACGCATATAACAGAAGAGAAGTAGTACTGGCAGTACTACTATTACACATCCCTGCTGAACAACGTGTACCCAAATAGGATTATAAGTAAACAAACATTGGCAGTGATCAACAACAGCCCAAATAAAAGCAGACAAACAATGCCGGCAAGCCACGGGAGACATCTCCCGTCACGCAGGGTGCAGTCGCACCTCCACAGATCTCCAGTATCATCTATTGATACTGGAAATGGCTCAAAAGGGCCACCACTTACGGGCTATTCATGCCCGTGCCACCTTTTAGGTGGCTTAATCTTCTCTCTCTCTCTCTCTCTCTCTCTCTCTCTCTCTCTCTCTCTCTCTCTCTCTCTCTCTCTCTCTCTCTCTCTCTCTCTCTCTCTCTCTCTCTCGCCGGCAAGCAATATCAGTCCAAACAGCAATACGAGCACACACACCAAAGTTGACATATGCATAATCCAAGGACTCCCAACAACATATAAACTGAGGTCCAATCTAAGTAATGGATGATTTCAACCATGGAGAATTTGACTGGGACACAAGAGCCTTGGAGACGAAACATGATAAGGATAACTGACGGAAGGTGCAAAAATAAAGCTTCCATTGATTCTTTTACAACTGGCTTACTACACAACAGTTATCTGTGTGATTTTGTTTTCCAGATATTGCTAAGATTAAATATGTGTGTCCATATGGTTTGCTAATTATAGTGTTTATTAACACTACAATTTTTAATTGCTATTCACGGACAACAACTGACTAGTTTAGTGCATAAACTGCAACAAGTTGCCACTTAATGAATTCAGAGTTTATCATTTAAAAAATATGTTGCCTCTTTTTCTGTTGCGATTTTAAATGTTCTGGTTTTCTGGGGAATGTAATGGTTTCATGCAATAAAAATAAATAAGATGAATTTGCACTTTATTATCTTTACAAAATGTTTTTACACACAGACAGTAAGTCACAATAATATAGCTGAAAATTAGAAACCAATAAAAATAATGTAATAGCAATGTAATGGTTTCATGCAATAAAAATAAATAAGATGAATTTACACTTTATTATCTTTACAAATTGTTTTTACACACAGACAGTAAGTCACAATAATATAGCTGAAAATTAGAAACCAATAAAAATAATGTAATGGCAATGTAATGGTTTCATGCAATAAAAATAAATAAGATGAATTTACACTTTATTATCTTTACAAATTGTTTTTACACACAGACAGTAAGTCACAATAATATAGCTGAAAATTAGAAACCCAACCATCACGTCTGAAAATAAAGACGTAACGATGTATCTGACCGCTCTGAACCATTATCATGCGTAAAGAAAGACTGGTGGAGAAACTCAATTAAAATTTGATCATCTGTGTCTATTCTCAAGTTGAAATAACTTTCTATCATCCTAAACTTGCTTCCGACACTAGAAACCCAGTGCTCTGCCTTCCCTTTATATCTGAACTCAAAAATCTCACTAATGCCCTTCGTCCTCTTGATATAAAACTCACCTTTCGACAAGCTAACATACTTCGTAGTAATGTGATTCACACGGCTCCTCTTGCTTCTAATGCTGCTGGTTGGTCTACTCTATTTCCCGTTCCTCTTGTCGTCTCCAATATGAAACTGGCAGTACTCCTTATGCCAGATTAAAAGAACACAAAAGAAATGCTAAGTCTGCAGATACAAACAATGGTCTGTTCTGTCTTGTTAAAGACTAATAATTTTTTTAGATTGGTGCTCTAAAATATTCTTTCCTGCCTTTAATCTTCACAGACGGCGTCTTGTCGAATGGGCTCCCATACCCAACATGAACCTTAGTCCTGGCTTTGTTGTTGTTGACGCTTGTCTTTCTTAGTACATAGTGCACTAACCGCCTTAAGAAACGTGATCTGACTTTAACCCCTCTACGCTCTTGCCCTTTTTTTCTCTTACGATGCTATCTCTTTTTATCTCTTTTTTTCCGCCTCGTTTTCTTCGTCATTTGGCCTTTTGCAGTTTTCCTTATTCCTACACTTTAATTTTATTGCAATTCTTTAACGTTATTGCTTTCTGCTACGTTTCTCCTTTACTTCAACCTTATTTATTCCCCATACTTATTCATTATAACCATACTTCAACCCTATTCCTATACATTTAACCTATTCCTATACATTTAATCTTATTCCTATACATGTAACCTATTCCTATACATGTAACCTATTCCTATACATGTAACCTATTCATATACATGTAACCTATTCATATACATTTAACCTTGTTCCTATACATTTAGGCCTATTCCTATACATTTAGCCTATTACTATACATTTAACCTATTCCTATACCTTCTCGTATTTTCACTTTACTTTCCTACCTCATAAATTAAATTTCTCTTATTTAGTCAACACATATATGACTTATTGCTTACAGTCACTAAATAAAATAGTGACTGTAAGCAATAAGTCATATATGTGCTGTCTTGTGCGAGAGCAGGTTTGTGCAGGCAGGTTAGGAGAGAGCAGCAACATTCGCCCTCATTAGGCGAATCAGTCATACAGCACAGCACGAGAAGGGGTCACTCATTTCCTCTCGTGCAAAAATATTTTGACATTGGGTGAAAACTAAATATTTTATAAAAACTAAATTTTCATAGTGCTTGAAAGGTATTCATAGTATAGACTGTAATGATCTTTTGTTTGCCCCTGTTTTTATTTTGTTTACATACTTGACACAGAGAGTATTCTTTTACCCTGAGTTATGTTTAGGCTGACTTATATTCACACGGGGCTGAACTCTAGGCCATAGAGTTTGACTTCTATGATTAGCTGTTCCATCCTTTGGACGTATCGAGTCGAGCAAGATTGGCTAGCTTGAACATGGTGTTGTCTCCTACATCATTTTTTCCTTGATGTGAAGAACCGATTCGGTGAAAACAGTATGACATATGTTTTTCTTTTAATCAATGTTTTGGCATCCGGCAAGCTTGATCTTTCTGGCTCGATTGTACAAGTCTGCCAAGCATAGTACTTGTCCTGTACAGAGTACTTGATACTGTACACGGTACAGTGTCCTCTCACTGCTATTACGGCAACGCACTAACAGCTCACAATCACTCACTCACTATTACTCATGTACTCTTATTTCATAAAATATTAAAAAAATATCCGAATAAAAATTAAGGAAAAAAGAGATCTATAGGCATATACTAGGCAGCTCCTACTTATATTCCCCCAAACTTATTCATATAATTGTCTAATCTACCATTGAAACAGTCCAGCTCTCCATCTAGTTTTTAACACATCAACGACCCTATTCCCAAAGTAATATTTAACCTAGGTCTTTTCTGAATTTAAACTTATCCAATTTGTACCCATTTAATTAATATTCCTCTTGTTATAACCTTTCACCCAATTTGCACCTCATTTCACCCTTTACTCTTCATTTTTCTAGAGAATGTATATTACGCTCACTCAGACTCTTTCTGTGGAAGGTTTCTAATTCCTGAAAGAGTCTTCGTCATTTTATACAAATTCGAGCGAATTTATGTCCGTACGGCGACCAAAGCTGAACTGCATCATTAAAATGAAGTCTAACAAGTGAGCCAGAAAAGGCTGAAGAATAACATTAGGTAACGTGCTTCTAGAAATAAATACATCTTTTAATTGCATTATTCCATAGATTTATGCATTGATTTGTTGGGCTTAATAAGATCAAAATTATGAGTGTCAGATCTTTTTCACTTTCGAAATCAATCAGTTTCAATATTGTCCTGCCGATATCTGGTAATTCTATTTTCAAACTGAATGCAGCATTACTGGGTAATCACTTCTAACTAATTCACACGGGGCTGCCTAATATTCACACGGGACTGCCTAACATTCACACGGGACTGCCTAACATTCACACGGGACTGAATCATTCATAGCTGACAAATCTACTCGTTTCTCGTGTAAACTTTAGCACCCTGAGCTATGTGAACATATTAATTTCATATATTTTCTATAATATTAGAGTTTTGGTGTTGGGCTGAAGACCTATCAACCTCTGGAGGGTTATTAGGCCACCAAACTGTTTACTGACGAACGAGCAAGAACACTTTAGTCCTGAACATAGTCCAAGACTAAAGTTAACTTTAGTGTATATACACCAATAAGTTACACCTCTCAGTATATATATTCCCGTGACGCAGTGGAACGACACTCGCCCGACGCTTCGACCTGGGTTCGTATCCTGGTAAGGGAGAATTGACTGGGCGCCAATCTTTAAGTGTAGCCTCTGTTCACCCAGCAGTGAATGGATACCTGGTTGTTAAACGATTTGGCGGGTCGTATTCCGGGGAAAAATTAGGATTAAGGACTTACTCGAAATCTATGAGTAGATTTCGTACAATCACTAGCTATGAGTGCTAGTGATTGTACGTGAATGTAAGAACTCTTGTATACTTCCTTGAATAATTTATCGTCATAGAAATGAGTAAATCATTCACTTGTACAGTGAATGTCATTCATTCATGAATGATTATATCATTTACGAGCAATATTGCCATAAGGACTGTACAATACAAATATAAGTGATCAGTTTGATTCCAATTATGGAATTAATTTAATAATCAATAACACGATCTTTTCAGTAGTAATTAACAGGCTCATGTCAGTAGACAATTACAAAATCCAGTAAGTAATCATTTGATTATATCAACAATCCCATAATCAAGCCAATAAACAAATTAACATTTTAACCGTTTTAATATATTTCTAAGGATAGTAAAGGTAATGTTTTATTAGTACTTTTATTTGCATAAAATAATGAAACGGCCCATAATACCAAAACATTAAAAATCACTACAGAAAATGGTTTCATAATTATTTTTATAATTATATGTATAATTATAAAAATATAATCCAAAAGAATGACACTAATATAATAATCTATACACTAAATGCAAGTTATTGATGCATTATATCGTGATAGTTTGTTCCGTGAACAGTAATTATACAGTGAAGTGAAAATATATAATATAAAAAAACAGACGGGATCACAGTGAACCTCTGGGTGAACGGGAAGAAAGTTGGGGTGGGACTACACGTGTGTATCAGCCCCTGTGATACACACGTATAGCCCCTGGTTAACCAGGGGCTATACGTAACCAGCCCCTGGTTAACCAGGGGCTATACGTAACCAGCCCCTGGTTAACCAGGGGCTATACGTAACCAGCCCCTGGTTAACCAGGGGCTATACGTAACCAGCCCCTGGTTAACACCTACATTGACATCAGTGTTGGACATCCAGGTGACACTACCACTTACAAGGAATCAGCCAAGTCCCGTAAGTACAGAGAACTGGATCACCACTACAATGGTCATAAAAGTATTTGTGTGTACGTCTGATACCATACTACTTGTGAAGGAGGAAATGTATATGTTTATCTCTCAGAATGTTTGGTAATATGTTTATTGTTTGTGATGTGTGTCTATGTATGTATTAACACGATGTACTGAACGGGGTGAGAATAGCTTGAGCTACCTCATCCCTTTGTGTGTATTTTACATCAATAAACTTATTTCAATTTCAATTTCAACCACTACAATTTTGTCCCCATTGCGTCTGAGATACTTAGCGCCTGGGGTAAGAGTGCCAACAGTTTTTTGAAGGAACTGGGTTCTAGGCTAACTGAAGCAACAAGAGACCCTAGAGCTTCCAGCTTTAGTTTAAGAATCAATAGCAGTTCCATTTCTGCACCATCTGCGAATTGTGCCTTTCAGGTCTTTTTTTGTCCCAATCTAGTTCTTCATGAATGATATCTTCCGTTATCAATTCCGTTATTTAGACACTGCCTATGTGCTGTTGTTGCGAGTCCTTGGGTATGCAAGCCTTGTTTATAAGATAGTATTCCTGTTTGGACTGCCTTTGTTTGCCAGCATTGTTTGTTTTTATTCCTTTTTTGGGCTGGTCACTGGCAGTGTTTGTGTGCTAGTCTTCCTGTTTGGGATGATGTTGTTCGCCGAGCTGTTGTCAACTACCACCAGCACTACTTGTACTTCTGTTGTGTGTGTGTGTGTGTGTGTGTGTGTGTGTGTGTGTGTGTGTGTGTGTGTGTGTGTGTGTGTGTGTGTGTGTGTGTGTGTGTGTGTGTGTGTGTGTGTGTGTGTGTGTGTGTGTGTTGTATGCCTGTAACAACAAAACTTTTATGGTTGTGTTTCAACAACCTCGATTTCTTCTAGTTGATCTGTCACCACAGTCTATTCTTCCTCTCCCTCTTCTTCGTCTTCTCCTTCGTCTCCTCCTTCGTCCTCCCCACCAGTTTCATCGTTAGTGTTGTCTGCTTCAGCACCTTCGTCCAGTCCGCCAGCAGTGTTGTTGCTTGCAGCGTCACGGACTGAAAAACAAATAAGGAAATATAATGTATGTAATGTTGTACTTAGATTTTTTGTAAACCCATTCGTTTTGGAAATAATTATAATTAAAAATGTGAAATTATTTAAAAGTAACATAATAATTTACAGATTAATGGTTTACTCATCTTTTTTTTTATCTATATTCCATTAGTCAGCCTTGAAATATAAATGTATCCAACTAAGGTTAAATAGAATTAATTGGGAAGTATCACCCAGTCAATCCTACTGAACTTCAACTATTTCCTAAATATAACTTCCAAATACGAATGCACTCAGAAAATTATACCGTATACGATAATCTGATTGCTACTATTACACGAAACACGAAATCCTAATTATATACTCACTGAATTCTCGACAGCAGGTACAGCCTTGAGCTACGCAGACATTGACTAACTCCCTCTGGCCAGGGGCACACCCTCCTCGCTGGCACACACCGCCCCAGTCCTGACACTCGTCAGTGGTAACACATTCTGTAGGAGATAACGGCTTGCGTACTGTCCTTAGCTTCAAGGTCCAAAGGGCTTGGAAAAGTCGGGGAAAGGAGGAAGGATGAGGAGTAGAAATTCAGGAAGAGGATGTGGATTACGAATAAGACTAAAAAGTTCCTGATAATGCGGCGTTGGGAGCGTACCGCAGTCTGGGCAAGGACTGCTGAGGGCACGCAATTAGCCACATGAGGAAGCCTAGGCACCGAGGACAAACATTGACGAAACACATGTCCCTCATCACGGAACATCACAATGTCCATCAGTATGGACATTGTGATGTCCATTACTGCATTCTGATGTTAGGCTGGCTGGAAATCTGGTACATGGAAGAGTTTAGAGAAAAATGAAAACTGGCGAAGGGAAAGGGATTGGGAGGTTCTTGCTATACGTTGAGGATTTAACCATATCTCTCGAAAATATTGACCGTAAGACGATAAAGTTAATTTCTAACCTGTCTTAGAAAGACACGATAGGAGAACTTAACTTGCATCTTGCACGGAGGTGAGATCGAAAGCTACAAAATTATGAATTGCATTTACAGAGACATCACAAGCAAGATTTTGAAAGTGGCAAACCATATCAGAACTCATAATAATGGTTATGCTATATATTAAAGAAATTCCGATTTAAAATACATACAAATATAAACAAATATTAATTTGGTATTATGCCTGTAGTGAAATAAATTATCAGCTATCATAATATTTATAATTACTAAAGGAAATAATTTATACTGTTTAGAAATAGGATAGAAAGATATATGAATGGTTGAATCAAAATAAGACGTGTCAAGAAGAGGCCAGTTGGTATACTGCTGCATACCAACCGGCTTCTTCTCTTCTTACAAAGGCAGAAACACTTACTTTTGGCACAGCAGCTGCAGGGTGTTCCGGTACAGCCACCAGCGATCACTGTCAGTTTAGCACTGCACGACGGGGCGCAGAACCCGCCAGCTTTCTTGCATCTCGGCTTAGGGTCGCAGGCTGTGGGCACCAGAGACATGATGTCGGTTTTTATTTAGTTTGAAGGGACATTTCTGTTCGGGGACCCTAAGCCTCTAGCTGGCCGGCTATGTGGTACTCGTTCTAGTATAAGAAAGGCGGTGGATGAGTGTTCGTGACTCATATGCTCTAAAGGGTGGGGGGGGGGGAGGAATCTTCATTATTATTATTATACTATCAATATGGTTTAGGATAAAAATCCACACTTGTGTATTTGTGAAATTTATGTAAGGAATTTACACCAAGTCTTTCGCACTCTCCTGAGTGTTTTGTCTAGATGTGAGTGTGTGATTAAGACGAGACTTACATCTCAACGTCTAATGAAGCAACTATCCTTGTTGTTTTAGTTTTAGCTCTTCAGAACGAAAGGTCCATGTAGCACGGGCTGTGGTGAGCCCGTAAACCGCCTACTATCCTGGGTCCCAGTCCTCTTATCCTTCTTGACCTCCTGACCAGGTCTCCTCTATTCCCGACAGGTGCTGTACCTGCGGTAATGTCTTCTATGGAATTATGGACATGTGTTCTTTTTGTACTCGTGCTATTCTGGGAACTGGAGTTGTTATTAGTAGAGGTGTTCATCTGGATGCTGTCCCTCGTAACCTTGTCCATACCCCCGAGGAACGCGGCTAATGAGACTGCTTTCATTCATCCATTTATTGAGAAATAATGTTAATTCACTCAGAATCATTTTCCTAGTAAAGCTACCCTCCGAAGCAAAGCTTTTGTTGCCAGCGAAAAATGATAAATTCTATAAATAAATAATAGATAAATAAAAGAAGGGGCTCTAATAAATACTCTGAATACTTTCGCAGAATGAAAGTAGTCCCATTAACCGCGTTCCTTGGGGGTATGGAGAGGGCTACGAGGGACAACATCCAGATGAACACCTCTACTAATAACAACTCCAGTTCCCAGAATAGCAGGAGTACAGGGAGGACACATGACCACAATTCTCTAGAAGACATTACTGCAGGTACATCACCAGTCGGAAATAGAGGAGACCTGGTCAGGAGGTCAAGAAAAATAAGAGGACTGGACCCAGGATAACAGCCTCGGTAGACGTTGTAAGTCTCGTCCTAATCACACACTCAGACCTTGACAAAGCACTCAGGAGAGTGCCAAAGTCTTGGTGTAAATTCCTTACGTAAATTTCCCAAATACACAAGTTTGGGTTTTTATCATGTATTATTATATATGTGAGAAGACATTATCATTGCTTATCAATATTGTTGTATGATATAAACTATATAAATGGCTATATAGTTTACTTTGAAGTTTGCAAGCAAGTACTGCCCTTTTATGTGCCGTTATCAGTATTCATACGGAGATTCTGTACCTTATTGTATACAACAAATTTTTCAGTGTTGAAAAGACAGTTTTCCAGATGTAATGAGCCCGGAGCTTGAGAGACTCGCTCACATACCACCAGCCTACGTTTGAAAACGTTACCTCACCTCTAGCAAATATATACCATGAAGTAAATCAACTGTTGTGGGTGGCATCCTGTGGAAGGTCTTTCGTTAGTTACATGCCAATAAATCCAGCAGGCTTCCTATCACTGATAACGGGGGAATAATTATCGTTACTTCCTGTGGGAAAGCAGGATCTACCAACCTCTCGGAGCACAGCAGGAGCAGCCGCTGCCTGTGCATCCTCCTTTGACCGTGAGCTGCAGTGCGTTGCAGGCTGCTGCTTGACACACTCCTCCCGCAGCCACGCAGGCAGAAGTCCTCAGGCAACCTGGTTGAAGACTTACACATTAGACATTCTAACCTCTTTATAAACTTTTGCTGAAGATTTCTCTTGGCATATATATATATATATATATATATATATATATATATATATATATATATATATATATATATATATATATATATATATATATATATATATATATATATATATATATAACTGAAAACTCCACACCCCAGATGGATTCGAACCCAGACAGCCAGGGAACACTATGCCCCTTGGCGTACCTGGTACCTTAATCACTAGACCACACTGTACAAAAATCTTGATAGTCGTGAGGCTTAACTAAGATTAACTACCTGAAACTACTTAAGTCGTAAAGACATTTGTTAATAGTTTGAGGAATTTGCAACGTCGATATCAGTGCACAAGGCAATCACATTAATGTGATGCGTCAAGGAGAAAAATCAGTGTTAAAAGTCTAAGGAATTTACGATTTCGATATCGATGTTAAAAGTATAAGGAATTTGAGACTTTGATATTGGCATTAAAACCCTAAGGAATTTGTGACTGTCGATATCAGATATGCAAATTGAGATACAGAAAGGCCAGGCACTTACTTTGATGGCTTCCGCTTTCGTCAGAGTCGAAGAACTCATGGGAATGGTGTCTTATATCCTGTGGTGATCCATCTAAGAAAAGAGAATATAACAGTGATTAGCTTGTAAATCTCCTGTATTTCATTAGGTTCACTATTTCGTCATAATTACATAACAAACAATGTCATTTCAGTAGCAAATCAGTCATTGACTACTCTAAACTGTTCACGAAACTAACAATATTACAAAAATGAGATAAACTCTGAAGAATTGATTCCTTTAAGGTCTAATCTGTCTACAACAGCAGCAATATTACAGAAATATATATATATATATATATATATATATATATATATATATATATATATATATATATATATATATATATATATATATATATATATATATAATTTAGATAAATTGTACTGAAGCACATTGCCCATCCGTTGCCATTTCAGTACTGTGTCCATATACAGCCTTCGTGTTTTGTGTCTGTAAATAAGTTTCATACTTGACCCTTTGCTGTCTTTTGACCTATGCTACACCTGTTAATGGAAAGGTATAGCACATGGAAGGGATATAAGGGCATGGATCTGGGATAGAACGGAGGAAAGGAACGGTGACCAAGCACATGGATCATCGGGGGATCGAGCCCAGGCCTGCAAGAAGCGATACTGTCGCTGTACCGAACAGTAATGAGCTTTGTTTATTGAACAGTGCCTCCAGAGCTTTTCTTCTGCGTTGTCTAATTAAGATAACAGCGTCATTGAGTCCTGGGTTCTCTCTATGTAACTATGTCACAATCTAAGTTTGATCTCATGTCACTGAAACATTAATACAGGCACTATGCAGCGTCTGTAGAACAGTGCCACGAGCATAAAATGCTCGTGGCACTGAATCAGGCAGCAATTTTGTGTCTGTTGCTATGTCTATATCCCTTGAACAATGCCTCATTCCCCTAGATCTGCTGTGTCTCTAAAACAGTGCCAAAGTCCCCGGTCTTATGTCTATGGTATAGTGCCGCAGAGTTTCCCGGGTCCCTTCTGTTGTTCTGCTGATTTGTCACCCATTCTCTGTCTCCTGCTTCATAATCTGCAAAAGACAAACAAAATATGATTATTATTTACATTTCACACAGCCCGTCTTATACAGCCCAACAAAATATTAAAATTTTATACGTACAGTTTAAGTACAGTTTTGCCCAAGGTTATTTATGTACTAAACTGAACTTAAGAAGAGCTTTTATAGGTTAAGTTGAGTTAGCATTGATTTTTGCTGTTATGTTATAATTTGATAGGTTTGGTTACTTACATTTGATTAAGTTATATTTGGTTAGGATTTTTTTTACGATAGATTAGGATTGGGTTTGTTTAGTTAGATAAATAGAGTTACGACTGAATTAGTTTAGTTAAGTTAATGTTAGACTGGCTTTATCTCTAATTAGGTTAATAAACTCAAACTCGGAGTACCAGACTTTACCTGGAATAACTTAAATACCTTTGAACATATTGGAGCGAGGAGCATTGAGTACAATTATTTTGCTCTAAAGGTCTTCAGAAAGGTAATTAAATTCAAAAGAATACCGTAAAGATGGGATTCTTTAGGCTAATCAATCTAAATAGGTACGCAATGGAGCGGAAATAGGTAAACAATGGTGCGGAAATAGGTAAACGATGGTGCGGAAATAGGTAAACGATGGTGCGGAAATAGGTAAACAATGGTGCGGAAATAGGTAAACGATGGTGCGGAAATAGGTAAACAATGGTGCGGAAATAGGTAAACAATGGTGCGGAAATAGGTAAACGATGGTGCGGAAATAGGTACACAATGGAGCGGAAATAGGTAAACGATGGTGCGGAAATAGGTAAACAATGGTGCGGAAATAGGTAAACAATGGTTGGGAAATATATAAGCAATGGTACGGGAATAGGTAGGGAAGGGCTCGGAAACAGGGTTGCAGATCTGCTAAACAGTTTACCTGCTGGGTGTGGTTGGGTATTATTAAGAGCTGCCTGGTATGGACCAATAGGAGCTGCCTAGTATGGATCAATAGAAGCTGCCTAGTATGGATCAATAGAAGCTGCCTGGTATGGACCAATAGGAGCTGCCTGGTATGGACCAATAGGAGCTGCCTAGTATGGATCAATAGAAGCTGACTAGTATGGATCAATAGGAGCTGCCTGGTATGGACCAATAGGAGCTGCCTAGTATGGACCAATAGGAGCTGCCTAGTATGGACCAATAGGAGCTGCCTGGTATGGACCAATAGGAGCTGCCTGGTATGGACCAATAGGAGCTGCCTAGTATGGACCAATAGGAGCTGCCTAGTATGGACCAATAGAAGCTGCCTAGTATGGACCAATAGGAGCTGCCTAGAATGGACAAATAGGAACTGCCTATTATGGACCAATAGAAGCTGCCTAGTATGGACCAATAGGAGCTGCCTAGTATGGATCAATAGGAGCTGCCTAGTATGGACCAATAGGAGCTGCCTAGTATGGACCAATAGGAGCTGCCTAGTATGGACCAATAGGAGCTGCCTAGTATGGACCAATAGGAGCTGCCTAGTATGGACCAATAGGAGCTGCCTAGTATGGACCAATAGGAGCTGCCTGGTATGGACCAATAGGAGCTGCCTAGTATGGACAAATAGGAACTGCCTATTATGGACCAATAGAAGCTGCCTAGCATGAACCAATAGGAACTGCCTAGTATGGTCCAATATAAGCTGTATAATATGGACCAATAGGAGCTGCCTAGTATGGTCCAATAGAAGCTGTCTAATATGGATCAATAGGAGCTGCCTGGTATAAACCAATAGGAGCTACCTAGTTTGGACCAATACCAGCTGCCTAGTACGGGCTAATAGCAGCTGCCCAGCATAGACCAATAGGAACTGCCTAGTATAGCCTAATAGGCATTCTCCAAATTAATATATATAAGTTTAGATTTAGGAAAGACCTGTGTGAATATTGGTTTGAAAACTGGGTTGGTGAATAATGGAAGAAATTACCGGATACCATAACAGATGTGGGATCGCTGGGTTGTTTCAGGCGTAGGTTAGACATATATATATATGAATGAGTTTGGGTGGATATAAGTAGGAGCTGCATCGTATCGGCCAATAGGCCTACTGCAGTTTCCTTAATTCTAGTGTTCTTCAAGTCTGTGCTAATGTCTTTAAGCCAATGAGTATAAATGCCTTAAATGTGATTTTGTACAAAGTAAAATGACAAAGTGTTATTCCATGAATGTATATTTAGCAAATGTACTCAACAGACTGTACTTGAGGGCTGTAACATGCAGGTAATCACAACAGGCCCTATAACCCTGTACCTGTAACATACAGGTAACATACAGGCCCAGTCATCAAAACCCAACAGTTCAAGACTGATAAACATAATTATAATTGACACACACAGGGATACATGACAGTTGAGAGGCGGGCTGAAAGAGCAGAGCTCAACCCCTGAAAGAACAACTAGGTGAATACTTAAAGATGTACTCAGCTTCTAAGGTGTTTTCACTGAGTTTACTTTAGTTCTGGACTATGTTCATGACTACAGTAAACTTGATGATTGGTCAGTAAACTAGTGTCACGACCTTAGTAACCTCTTAGTAACCAAAATGGTCTCTCCTGGAGGGCCGACCAATCAAACGCTGGGAGATGGTATTAACCAAGGTACGGCTTTTTACAGGTACCAGCTAAACGTGAAGATACCTTATATAAAACACACCAAAATGTATACGAAATATATATACAAGTATGAAACACAAGGAAGAATATTCTTTAGACAGCATCGGTGCCACAGACCTACCAACTATTCTACAGGAGTCTGACACTGTCAGCAGCGTTTAAAATAACTTTTCAAGACGCACGAGGAAACTGAGACGTGTTTCCTGGCTTTCCTAGTTTAATACACAAGACTAATGTCTTTTTAACTATTACTCTCTGGCTCATGACTTTACGTTACTGCTCTTCTGGTTGACGTGACTGGTTGCCTCCAGCAGAAAAAACACAACAACAGAAAAGTTCTGTGACATACCTCACCAGCAGCTGTACCGTTGCTGGCGGGTGGCGGTGTTCCCGCGGGCCCGGACGCGGATCCGGTCACGCTGTCCGCCTTCACCAGGGAGACGCACAAGAACATCACCAAACACACCGACTTCATGGTGCCGATGTCTCGCTCTTGGGGGATTGGTCTCTCACTGTTGGTATTTCTGGCTTCTGGGAGTCTAGCTGTTGGTGTCTGGCCTCTTGGTCTTGCTGGGAATGTTCTATCTCGTAGATCACTGCGTGTATGTGTGTATCAGACTTGGGTCGAGTCTTCTGCCCTTCACGTCCGCTGCCAGTGAATCGCAACTGTGAACTGTGGCTGCTGTAGGGGGAGTCACTTGCCTTATATCTAATCTAAATGCGAATGCAGACCTCCAGAAAACACCTGCTGAGACAACAGGTGCTAGAAGCTGGACACATATCGCATGTAAGGGAGTTATTGGTTAATGTTCAGATGCACCTGTGTCTCTTGCCACGTCACTGACCATGTGTCTCAGAGGTCTGTGACCTCGTGGGTTAAAACTGTTCTCATAATGGCTTTACCAGACGCGACGAAAATGGTCTTCAAAACATAACAGTATTCTATAATTTTTTTGTAACATGTTTATACATGCCCTAAACGGAAGTTTAAATTTTCCTTTCCTTCAATGACAGGAGTCGTGAGGGAAATGTTGAAGTGAAGGAAGAGTTAAGTTCAGTAGGAGAGATGAGGTGTATTGGAGTCTTGAGATGAGATGAGGTGAAACAAGTCTAGCTAAGGTGAAGGAAGGCTAAGAGTTTTAAGATGCTAGATGACATGACATAGGAGGGTTGAGGTTAAGTATTGGATGACATAATGCTAGGAGGGTTGAGGTGAAGCACAAAACCCTCAAAATGTAATCATTCACACAGATTCAAACGCTGCACTTCAAATATTAGAAAAAAAACAGTAGAAAGACAACGTGGAAATAATTACCCCCATTTTGCATCTTAGAGCAGTAGCTAAAGGCAAAAGACTCAACATAGCCATAAACTGAATCTCATCCCGTATTGAATTTCCTTTAAATGAGAAAGCCGATGAAACTGTTAAATTGGCCACTCGTCAGTCAGTGATTCATAAAACAATCCAACCCAGCCTAGAGTACATAAATAACCCCATCACCAAAAAACACCTCAACAAAGCCCATCTACAACAGAGTAGCAGAAGTTCGCCCTCTCCAGTATGGGATCTTCAGGCCCACCAAGTGAGACAGGTTAAATATCCTGAAACAAATCCACAGGGAAATAGCAATTCGGCAATAAAGATTACGTCTAAGGGAATGCATCTTCTGCCAAACAGTCACAGAAAAGCCACAACTTTACTACCTCCTGGAATGTCAAACAAACAATGAACGACCTTAGAAGAGCTTTAAGAGTTCCTGAATGTTGCAGTAACCACACCGAAGCCATCAACACTGCCACTCTTCTGGTCAAATAAGGTGTCCAACAGCTGGACACCCTCATATATACTGTAAAGCAGTATCGCCCCCCCCCCCTCCGCGATAGCAGCCTAACGATTTAAATGCGACTTCAGCACACAGTATACATTCACTAAAAAAAAAAAAAAACACTACCATTTTCGGGCTATTCATGCCCGTAGCACCTCTTGGGTGGCTTAATCTTCATCAATCACCATTCAATCGAGTTGAAGAATTGGATGACGTAAGACTAGGAGAGTTGAGGTGAAGTATTGAATGACATGACGTTAGGAGGAATTATGTAACAAAATGTTAAGCGTATATTCAGTGTTTTGAAAGTCACACGTCAAGACGAAAGAAAACAGGAACACTTGTAACGATGTCAACAACACAAGTGAATATCCCGATGTGAGTCAGAAAGCTGCAGAGTGTTGTGTCATGTTGAATAATCTAACCACTAAAGTACCAGAGCCCGAGGCTTAAAATCTTTCCTGCCGAAATGTACTGTAAAGATTCATGGAAATAAAGAACCCCAAGACTGTAGACTGCAGATGGAATCGAACCCCGCAGCAAAGCAGCTTTATTTACACCAAGAAAACTCATTTGACTTAAAACAATCCAACGGTTCCATGTGTTTTATGCTACCAGGTAATTGGTTTCATAAATCAGCAACCCAATTTTCAATTCAATATTTACCAAATTGTTCTCTGAATCTAAACTTATCCTCTTTGTATCCATTGGTTCGTGTTCTATTTGTGTTGGTGTATTTAACACATTACTGAAATCCTATTTATTAGACTCATTCAACCAGTTTTTTTTACTTGAGAATGTAAATTAAATTGATAAGTCATGTAGCCGATAATTTTCCAAGAAATGGGAGGTATTATAAATAAGTACTCTGTCTCTATACTTAGCGGAGAAGAATGTGATATTATGCCTGTAACGAGGCAAATCTATGCAGGTGGTGAAGAGGACAAGTTGACTAAATTAATGGTTAAAGTTATTAAACAAATACAAAAATTGAAACCATACAGGTCCCCAGGGGCAGACGAAGTGTTTCCCAGGGTGCTTGAAGAATATAAAAAAGAACTTAGCGAGCCTTTGTCTTGAATATCTAATAAATTATTAGAGTTGAGCTGAGTGCCAGAGTCGTGGAGGGTTGCTAACGTGGTACCGGTCTTGATGAAAGGGGATAGATCACTTGAGTCAAACTATCATCTGATAAGTTTGACGCCTGTTGTAGGAAAATTCCGCGAATCGATTCATATATATCTTGGAGGCGATGAGTCACAATAACGTGGCTAAAGTATGTTGAGTCTATTGATTTAGTCACAATCGACTTGAGAATGGTCCAGGACGGACCGAAACGTCGTCGTCTCTTCACCTTCTAGTGTGTGGTCTGGTCAACATATACTTCTTGTATTAAAGGATTCACAACATAGTTGACAAAGCTTCGCTCATTTACAACAAATTTACTTTCATTCTTTTCCAATACATTTCAAGCCGTCGATAGCGAGAAAGATTGTGACGTTCCACATCTTGGCTTTAGTAAAGCCGTTGACACAATGTCTCACGAGAGACATTAAAGAGACAGTGGCACAGGATAATGTGGAGGGGGAACCTTAAGTTGGACCAGAAAGCAGTGTTAACATAAATGGAGTTAAGTCCGAGTGGGACACTCTTGCAGGTTGCGTGCCTCAAGTCTGTTAAGGGACCTCTGATGCTAACCATATGCATGTAAACGACTTAGACACAGGACTGAACAGCAAAATTTACAAATTTGCAAACGATGTATAAATAGGATGGGGAACAAATTCCGATAAAGATATATTTTGGCTTTTTAGCACGATCTAGATATACTTTTAATATGGACGATTGTTGACCAGACCACACACTAGAAGGTGAAGGGACGACGACGTTACGGTCCGTCCTGGACCATTCTCAAGTTGATTGAGAATGAATCGACTTCAGAATGGTCCAGGACGGGTCGAAACGTCGTCGTCCCTTCACCTTCTAATGTGTGGTCTGGTCAACATACTTTAGCCACGCTATTGTGACTCATCGCCTGAATATGGACGAAATATTTGCAGTTAAATGCTGACAAATTTCTGCTTCTGATCTATGATAATAACAGCAAAGTTTCGAGATATCTACTGGACTATGTTGAAGTTGCCAAGTCTCAATGCTAGAAAGATCTAGCAGTTACCTTTCGATGATTCCAAGGATCAACGGCCCCGCGGCCCGGTCTCTGACCAAGCCTTCTGATTATTAGGGACCTGAAGCCAAAATATGTATGCATAAATGTATGTAATAGGGTCAGTAGAATATTGAAAGTTATTTCCAGAAGCGTTATCAACAATACATCTACTTTGGCAATATTAGCCTCCATTTAGATGATACAGTTCAGTGTTGGTGACTGTACTAATGAATGGACATAAATTAACTTGAACTCATAATAGAAACCTTCCATTTGAAGACTGACTAAAAAAAATGAAATTTATATGCAACGAAAACTACGACACATAAAGGGGTGACATGAATAAAATCTATAAATTGACTCCAATAATTGGAATGTTAATAGAGTTTTAAATATATATATACACAGAATAGGACATGAAACAATGGATATAAAGAGGAAAAGTTCAGATTCAGGAAAGACCTGGGTTTACACAGGTCTTTGCCAAGTATACTTGTTTGGAAACAGGGTTTGCTGAATAATGAATCAAATTACTTGGTAACATAATAAACGTTGGATTGATGGATTGTTTCAATCGTAGATTAGATATATATGGTTGAGCTTGGGTGGATATACATCAAGCTGCCACGTATTGGTTCCGTTAGCCTTCTGTAGTTTTGAATTCTCTAATGGCAAAGAAAATTAGGTGGCAAATAAGAAATGACAAATAAGAAATTAGATCTTAACTCTATTGTCATTGGTAAGGTCAAGACCCTGCATGTTTCATCATTAAACTGTATTTGCTATTTTTTTCCACCTTAAAATTCTATCTAAATCGTCTTGAAGAGATTCTGGGCTATTTTCTGAATATATTCCCCCCCCCTAGTTTTGTTTAGTCTGGAAATTTTAATCCCTTATTCCCAAGTGCCATATAGTCCAAATGGCTTAGCGTTTTCTCCTGATATATCCCTTACTTGACACTGTGACTTGCTAGTATAAGTGCGGTATACCAAAAAAAGGCAGTATATATTTTATTATTTATTTATATATATACAAGAAGGTACATTGGGTTTATGAGAGTACATAGCATTGATGTTTTTACATTCTTGTAAAGCCACTAGCACGCATAGAGTTTCGGGCAGGTCCTTAATCTAACAGATAATTTTAAGTAGGTAATTTCTAGCAAAATTAATTTTTTTTAACAGGTATTTTGAAAGAAAATTTGACAAAGATTAGTAGGTACATTAAAGTAAAATTTGAGGGGTTATTAACAGGTACATTGTAGCATAATTTGAGGATTATTTCAAGGTATAATGCAGTAAAATATGTGTTCAAAGTAACAACTATGATATAAGATGATAGCAATGATTACAATGGTAAAGTTGTCTGTCATAGGTAAATATATTGGGGGAATAGGTAGCACTAGATACAGTGCGAGTTTAAAGCACAAGGTAGGAAACTATGAAGATGAAATTAGGTCCTTTTTGGTTTTATTTTTGAATAAGCCAAAAGTTGGACAGCTTTTCAATTCGTTAGGGAGTGAGTTCCAGCGACGTCTGGCAACTGGTGTACAGGGCACCTTATCATCTCGACCATCACGACCGGACAAAAGCTGATGGTAGCCGAGGCTATTTTGCCCATCAGCCCGCCGGCACTCTGATGGTAATCTTGGGCATAGTATTTTATCAAATCACCTTATTATTCTTTGGGGCACACGTGAGGAACACAAGCCATTCAGGCTTGTTTGCATATATATATATATATATATATATATATATATATATATATATATATATATATATATATATATATATATATATATATATATATATATATATATATATATATATATATATATATATATATATATATATATATATATATATATATATATATATATATATATATATATATATATATATTGTGACGATAATCTCTTTCAAGAGAGATTGAGCCTGCTCTTCCCTACTTCAAGTTACGCTAAATATACAAGTATAAAATGCTACATTCAAGATACGTGACCAGTAGCACAAAACGTTTTGACCAGGAGGCAAAACGTATCCAAGATCCCCCCACTCCACACACCCTCCACACGCTGGCTCGTCATCAAACCAGCTAACTACCCTTCACCAGCTTGCCTACCCCTGATTGGTGACTCGCCAGCCGCGCACCTGCACACAGCACCTCAGCGCCCTCTACACGACGTCTGAGCCTGACCAGCTATCAACTTCAGAATATTCCTTGTGCTCTTAGCGTTGACATCTCTCTCTGGCATACTAGCTCATTAGCTCGTATACGAAGGGAGGTTTCAGCCATAGCCGATATTCTCAGCACCATTTCAATATTATTTAATCTATTGTGTTTTCTGTATTTATCTTTGTCATTTTATTTCATTAGTCACTTGCCCGAGTTTTGCCTTTATTTTCATTTATGTTTAAAGTAAATATATTAAAGTTTCATTGTTCATACTTTGTGTTTTACGTGTTCCTCCCTCTAACTTGCCACAGACAACAGGCAAGCAGTCTATATTTTTGTTTTAAGTGTGACCAGGCTTTGACACCTGCCATTGGAGGACTGCCGAACATCAACACTCCAACACTTTCCCGTCACAATATATATATATATATAAATAAGTATATATATATAAATTGGTGTTAAGCAAAAGTAAATATTTTTTTAATTTTTATTGCATCAAACATGTAAATAAATCATAACACCAGATCATTGATTATCGCTAATACAGAAAGGTATACCAAAACGCATTCTAATCATTTCAATAAACATTTTTTGATAAAATGTAACTTGGGATAATATGTACACTAAATTTTATTCGCTCAATAATGAAACTTGCATTCGTGGATGACAATTACTAAATTGGAGTGAAAGTAAAGAATATATATATATATATATATATATATATATATATATATATATATATATATATATATATATATATATATGTCTCCAGGTTTGTCTCCTAGTCTAATTCACCGCAGTTGAAATCTTCCATAAGTAAGACGTTCTCTATGTGCTGCTGTTGCTAGTTCTTGGATTATGCCTATACAAGCTTTGATTGTATGCTCGTATTCCTGTCTGGTCTATTGTTCGCTGCCGGCCAGATGACCGCCAGAGTTAACCTGCACTACTGAACTAAGTAACAGATATCTAACCCGGTCCACTGAGGACAGAAAACAAATATACATATGCTGGTTAGCATTATAAATGTGTGGCCACGTCTGTGGTAAAAAAAAAAAGGAACAACTATCTGCACTTTTGTTATGTGTGTATGGATGTAGCTGTAATAACTCCTACGGTTCTTCTTTGTCTTTCTTGTTTCCATCTACTTCTTCTTAGTTTGAATCCACAGACTCGTCCTCATCTTCCTCTTCCTCATCATCCTCTCCCTCCTCCTCTTCTTCTTCATTAGATTGAGTCACATCGCTTCCCTCTTCTCCTGTTTCCACGTTGATCACTTCACCAATAGTACTGTTACTTTCAACATTACGGATTGGACCTAAAGACAGAAGTATTATTCATGAGATGCTGCATCCATCAGCTTTAATATATATAATTTCTTTGGATAAAAAGGTATCAATATATAAATTTAATATGATCAGAACCTATAAGTTTCTAACAGATCTGTTATGTAGGATTTTATCACTGTTTCATAAATTCGCAATGACCTATTAATGTAACTGTTTCATGGTCAGTATACTTTCCAAGTAATCGTTATAAAACTTTAATGTCATCCTGGATTTGATTTACAGTTTAGGAAGCACTTAGAAAGTTATCCCGTACTTGATACACACAATATCATTACCCTCAGCGGGAACCCCTGAGTTGAATACTCACCGGCAGGTGAACAACACCGACAGCCTTGTCCTGGACAGGCATCTAGAAGCTCTCTCTGTCCAGGGGCACACCTTTGTCGCTGGCAGACACCATGCCAGTCCTCACACTCGTCAGAGGTGCCACACGCTGTAAGAGACAAGACACATGCGATGTTATCATAGTCGTCTAGTCCTGGCACACGCAGGAGTTAAGTGCACCACATGAGTCAGGAGTTAAGTGTACCACATGAGTCAGGAGGACTTACGTCTAGCACAGCAGCTGCACGTTCCGGTGCAGCCCCCTGGGAGCACTTGCAGGCCGGGCCCGCACGCTAGGGCACAAAATCCTCCAGATTTCTTGCATTTAGGTTGAGGGTCACAACCTGTGGGGGAGCAGAGACATTACGTTAGCTGGTGCACAGTTGCTGTGGTGTGTACTTACCTAGTTGTACTCATCTAGTTGTGCTTCTGGGGGGGGGTTGAGATCTGGCTCTTTGGTCCCGCCTCTCAACTGTCAATCAACTGTGTGTGTGTGTGTGTGTATGTGTGTGTGTGTTGGTTCACCTGTTGTGGATTGCATCCTGGGAAAGGTCAATCGTTAGCTAATCAGTCTAACAGGGCTGTCCGTGCCTAATCCTGGGTGGCAATAATTATCATCATCTTCAGTGTAAGTCACGATACTAACCTCTGGGGGCACAGCAGTTGCACACACTTCCTGTGCAACCTCCGTGGACCCTCTTCTGTTGAACAGTACACGGTGCACTTTGACACTTCCCACTGGCAGCGATGCAGGCCGCAGTTTTGACGCAACCTGATTGGAGACAAACAGTTTATATGCCATCTACTCAGTTAACCATATGCTGAGATTTATCTTGCCACGTTTAAATGGTTAATAATTATATTTAGGGAGGGATTTATACATATTAGACAATGTATAGCTGTCCATCCTGGTGGACAGTTACACATTGTATAACTGTTCTCTTATGTATGTCCTCATGTATAAGGTTTTGTAGTATGTCATGGATTTCACGCCTCTAGGATATACTATCCAACGAGATGAGAAAATTCGTACCCACCAAGCTTGCTGTTGACACGAACTTCGTATAGTTTACGGTAGCCACAAAAGCCTTCGCATAGTTTACGGTAGCCACAAAAGCCTTCGTATGCTTTACGGTAGCCACAAAAGCGTTGTTGTGGTTTACGGTAGCCACAAAAGCCTTCGTATGGTTTACGGTAGCCACAAAAGCCTTCGTATGGTTTACGGTAGCCACAAAAGCCTTCGTATGGTTTACGGTAGCCACAAAAGCCTTGTTGTGGGTTTACGGTAGCCACAAAAGCCTTCGTATAGTTTACGGTAGCCACAAAAGCCTTGTTGTGGTTTACGGTAGCCACAAAAGCCTTCATATGGTTTACGGTAGCCACAAAAGCCTTCGTATAGTTTACGGTAGCCACCAAAGCTTTCCAATAGTTTATGGTAGCTATAGAAACCTTTGAATACTTTATGATACCCACAGAAGCCTTCGTACAGTTTACGAAGTTTACGAATGACTATTGTAAGTCGTGGCTTACAGTAGCCACGACATTGTGGGTGCACCTATGGTAATAATAAATAGAAAATCTTCTGCCGGCTAAATGGATAATGTAAATATAATACAATATCATTAATTGACAAGTGGGATTAATTTGATGGAAATAATAATATGTATGTTGATGTATATATGGATACATCAATCTGGAGCTAATAACTGGGCGCTGCTAAAGGGAAGGTTGTAAGCCTCTCAACAGGGGTTTAATAGGATAAGAATCGGTTTGAGAAATAATAATAGAATCCTAGAAAATAATAATAATAGAATCCTAGAAAATAATAATAATAGAATCCTAGAAAATAATAATAATAGAATCCTAGAAAATAATAATAATAGAATCCTAGAAAATAATAATAATAGAATCCTAGAAAATAATAATAATAGAATCCTAGAAAATAATAATAATAGAATCCTAGAAAATAATAATAATAGAATCCTAGAAAATAACAATAATAGAATCCTAGAAAATAATAATAATAGAATCCTAGAAAATAATAATAATAGAATCCTAGAAAATAATAATAATAGAATCCTAGAAAATAATAATAATAGAATCCTAGAAAATAATAATAATAGAATCCTAGAAAATAATAATAATAGAATCCTAGAAAATAATAATAATAGAATCCTAGAAAATAATAATAATAGAATCCTAGAAAATAATAATAATAGAATCCTAGAAAATAACAATAATAGAATCCTAGAAAATAATAATAATAGAATCCTAGAAAATAATAATAATAGAATCCTAGAAAATAATAATAACAGAATGCTAGAAAATAATAATAATAGAATCCTAGAAAATAATAATAATAGAATCCTAGAAAATAATAATAATAGAATCCTAGAAAATAATAATAATAGAATGCTAGAAAACAGAACAAAGCAAGAAGAAAAGTATGCCTCCAAGATATGCCGTGTAAGTTATCACAAATAGACTGGAAAAGTTAGATTCAGGCAAGAAATGGGTAAATATTTAAAAATGTATAAAAATCAATATCCAGTAAAATGACTATTTAAATAGTTAAGAAAATAAAACCTGAATTAATGTTACACAAAGTATACAGCAAAAAAATGTATACATGTTATATAATTCACCCAACAGCATAATTCACCAGACGAAAATTAATGTATAAACAGATGAGTTAAACGCCTAGATCCGTTTAACTCCAATCTCAGTCTCGCAATCGAGATTGATTTCACAGCCCGACCTCAACAACAGAGGCCAAATGTTCATTCCTTTGGGCCGCCAAACCCCTTCTTTATGACTGAAAAGTGCTTTTACACACAACTCACAACTGTGCCGTTCGAACATCTCTAGAATAGTGCATCGCTGATGACCCCTATTCGAACCACAACGCTGTAAATGCTTCACCCACGTACTACAAATACAAATAATTGCAACAGAACCTAAACACCTAACCTAACCTACGCCTAAATATGCACAATATCCTAATATATATAATAATATTAATTTATATTTGAGAAAATTCCTATTTTGAATGAATCACATAACTTGAGGACGGGCGTGAGAGAGGAAGACAGCCAGTGTTCCTACCTGGTATGAATTCATGTGATTCGTGAGATTCGCTGGAGTCATGAAAGCGTTGTGGTGGATCGAAGGTCGAGCCACCTGAAAAGGAAATAGAAAAAAAATCAATGATCCACCTGTAAAACAACTACACTGGGACATCATTTGCTTGTCTACAAAAACGTTTACGTCATCGACTTATAAACAGTCGACTTATAAACAGATAAAATATCATCCAAAGTAGTTTTCATACTCCTTGCAAGAGACTTGACTGTGATACTGTGCTTAGTGCTTGCTACAATGTCCTGTAGCTTACGGTGCCCGAGAAACATAGCCTAGTCTGTCTGAGAAACATAGCCTACTGTGTCTGAGAAACGAGGCCTACTGTGCCTATAGTGCTCTGCTGTGTCTATAGTGCATATTGTGGTTTGGTGTCTTGTTAAAAGTAACACAGCCGCAGAGGCCTGAGTTCTCTCTCAATGAAACTGTCACAGTTTTGAGGACAATTTTCAATCTATGAGAAAATTGCTACAACTCTTCCCCCCAAACATTTGTTTTGGAGGAAGAGTTCTGCGTCCGTTCACGATATCAGGTCACACCCCACCTCCGTGTCTGGCACACCGTCTATGTCTATTGAACATTATTTCAGGCCCCCTCAGAGTCTGTGGGGGGGGGGGGGCGAGAGTAGTGTGTCTGTGGAACAATACTGCAATCCTATTGAGTTCTTTGCATGTGGCACAGAGCCCCAGTCCCTCTTTCCCTGTCTTGTGTTTGTGGCAGTGTCACAGAGCCACAGTCCACTTCCCCCCCCATCCTGTCTTGTGTCTGTGTCTGTGGCATAGTGCCACAGATCTTCACAGGTCCCTTGTACTGTTCTGTTGATTTATCTCTCCGTTTCCTCTGTGCCTCCAGCTCCACCATCTGCAAAAGAAACGCAAAATAAGAAAATTTTATCATCACGACGTCAAATTAAAAGTGTAAATTTGCATTTATGGTTTAAAAAAACGTTTTTACTTGGTAACAAGATGAAGGAAGACCTACATCCCTGCCGTATACCAAGCGACACTGGAGTGCCAGATGATGATCCAGCTGGTGATGAACCAATACAGGAAATATAGGATAGAATCTCTTCGAGTAAGCTACGTCATACATCGAACTACACAGCCATCAACACACCACTATTAAGTAACACCGTACAACTGACTACAGATTCTGACCACTGACTCACAAATCAGATTCTGATTTGGACCCACAAAATGTTGACGTGTTTATACTGTTAATTTGATCAGAGTCCGAGGGGAAAAAAAGATAAAAGCCAAACTTAAACATTCCTAGGCCTAGAATAACAAATATACGTACTACGATATTATTCCTACCATAACGTGAATCAGGCCAAGGATTGCGTGGACGGGTTATGTCAAGGTACGTTAGGTTCTTCAGTTTTACATACAAAATATACATAAGTGAAACCTACAATGATTACACGACAAACATCTTGGCAACTTGCAGAAAGCGAGAAAGAATTGAAAGAATATACTTTACAAACATTCGACCAATAGGAATATCTACCACTCCACAGAATTCAGAATATCAACAATACTAGACTTACCACGTGCTTAATCAGCAAAATATAGATATATTATAGTAACTATAGATATAAAAATATTGATAGTAATTGTCAATAATATAAATGCTCTGACATACCTCACCAGCAGCTGCTCCGTTGCTGGCGGGTGGCGGTGTTCCCGCGGGCCCGGACGCGGATCCGGTCACGCTGTCCTCCGCGTTCACCAGGGAGACGCACAAGAACATCAACAAACACACCGACTTCATGGTGCCGTCGGAGTCTGCCTATCGGTGTCTGGCTGTTGTAGTGTGGCTGTTGGAGTTTGGCTGCTGGAGTCTGGTAGTTGGTATCTGACTGCTGGAGTCTGGCAGTTGGTATCCGGCTGTTTGTGTCTGGTCGCTCGGTGTTGCGGAGATTGTCTTGCCACAGAGAAAGAGTCTTGGGTGCGTTATGGCTCTTGACTGCTACCAATGAAGTGCAGCGGGGAACTGGCGGCTCCTCTACAAGCTCATCTGCCTTAAATGTTCTCGCCAGATCAACGCAGGCTCCCACGACGCATGTGCTGCTCGAACAGCTGCTGTAACCAGTTAACACGTTCAGAAACCACCTGTGTGTATGCACCACGTCAGCAGCCTTGTGCCGTAGAAGTCACTGAACTTTCTCAAGGGGCTCAGATTAAAATTAATCTGAACGTTTCATTCCCAAATAAAAACGGATCCAAAGACCCACAGATATCCAGTTATATTTGTTTTGTAATGGAGTTATTAAATACACGCTGGCAGCCCTGTTACATACGGTTAAGGGGAAGGTTACCAAATTCTTCCTACTTTACATAGAGGCAGGTAGAGAAATGTTGATATGAGGGGCGAGATACAATGAGCAGCGATGAGGAGGTCTAGGAGTCTTGAGGTGAGAGAAAGAAGTCTTTAAGTGAGAGAAGAGCTGAGGGAAGTTTAGGAGTCTTTAAGTGAAGAATGGGTATTAAGAGACTGAGGGCATGGTTCGGGTTGGTCATGGGTGTACAGAGGTTGGCTGAAGCTTAAAATGGATATAGTATTTTAAAACAACTTATGAACTCCATATGTTTATCCTACTGTTTCCTGAAGTACTAAATTAAATCTGTACTTACATCATTGGAAAGTAATTCGTCTCTAATAACTTAGTTTCAAGAGTCGCCATTCTTAGTTCCTACCTTAGTATAGTTTCTACTTCCCAGATCAGAGCCTTAGAGCACTTCGTCTACCATAGTTCCCATTCGGACTTACCTTCATTTGTGCTCTTTATTTTTGTTTTGTAATAACCATGCTCAACTTAGAGCAGCTCCCCCAATACCATGAGCTTCTACCATTATAATAGGTCTTTAGTGAGGCAGAGCTATGTTAAATGAAAGATACACAGCAACGCAATTTCCGTTATCAACTATCTCGAAATCGCTGGAAAGGAATGAGAATAGTTTGTTGTTGTTAAGGACGATGGGTCTTTGAAGAGCCAGTCTGTGAAATCTTCATCAATGTATGCTCTTCAAAATGTATACAAATGCCTTTTGGGATTATCGAATATACCATTTTTCCCATAATAAATGTTCACTGTAATTTATCTACCTTTTCCCCCCACCCTTCTTGAAGACTGGCACGCCGTTCGCAACTCTCCACGTTCTCTGACCCACGTTCTTTGATCCATTTATACCTGGGATATACCTGAAGTAGGTTATGAGAGTTCTTCTACTCCTCAAGCCGGGCTTGGGGCCAGGCTTCTCTAGTGATAACGTGACCTAAAAGGCTGTTGCTTAGAGCACTAATTTTATCGACCAGATAAGTCTTTCCATGTTCTTTCTTTATCTTCGAAGACCAAGTAGAGTAACATATGGAGTTTGAAGCCGAGAGTAAAGAGAAAAAGAGTTGTCCAGTAATTTGTGGTAGAAATTAACTTTATTGAATCACTTTCCATTGTTTATTTACTATGTATTATTAATTATATAAAATGCTCTTGATGTTGGATGATAATGATGATCAGTTATATATGATTAGCAAATTCTTTTTATTCATGTTTCTTAGGTCTGTTTTAATGAAAAATTAATTCCCGCTTAAATTTTTAATAGACATGTTTTTCATGTCTATTTTTAATCACAAATAAGTTCCTGCTTAAGTTTTTAATGATTTGTCGTATATCTATATTTAATAACAAATGAGTTCCCGCACAAGTTTTTGATTCAATAAGTCTCGCATGTTGACCAGTCTTGATTATATTTGCAGCCTTCTTGTATTGTGTCTTAATGATTCAGAGAGTGTCACTAAGTCATATTAGTGGATACTTTATTTTATATATTTGTTTCTAGTCATACTTACCTCTCTAATTTATGTGTTTCTGATATCTTTGAGAATCTGCCTAAACTAGTGAATAATATCAGGTAGGTTAACATGAACAATATAGTAGGGAGCATATTTTTTATGCTATATATATATATATTTCATTAACCCTACCCATCATCCTAAAATGATAGCACTGTATGATAGTAAGTATTCGGTGGAAAGTACCAATGTGTAGAGATGGATCATCACAAGGTTCCCCTCTTGTATTATTGAATTTTGGCCAAATGAGAACCTTTGTTAACTGTATTATAACTGCAGTATGTAATCTAACCTAACATCTCTTAGCAATCCTTGGCCTATTACACGCCATCTTAGGTTTTATATAGTATACTATATATATATGCTATACTCGCACTAGGAATGTTTTGATTTTTAGATATACTTTTTCGGACTTTCATAAAATTAAAAGTACAAAAAGTGGATTTTTTTTGGTGGTACAGTACTACATATTGGTACTTTCGACCAAATAGTTACTGAAAGTACTGTCATTTAGGAGGATGGGTTGAATTAACCACAGAACATAAATAATGGACTGTTTGGAGGGTTGAAATCCCCTTATTATAAAATAATTATCAAAGGTATCAGAGTGTGTACTACCTCGCAATAATAAAACGTATCAAAGATTTTCTTAAAGTCAAGATATAAAATGTCTCAATCCTTGAGACTCTGAAATATACTGGAAAAGAATGAGAGTAAATTTGTTAAACAGGAGAGAAGCTAAGTATCACCATGTTGTGATTTCTTTATTAATCTGTTTTTTCAGAATGTAGGTGAATGAATTTTTGCGATTATTCATTCAAGTATTTTTGTTGTGACAAACGTTAAATTAATTGGACGACAGTTCTTCACAAGTGAAGTGATCTCCCTTCTTAAAAATCAGCATCACTTTAGCAACCCTCCACGACCCTGGTAATTTGCCCGACTCTAATGATTGACTAAATATGCAAGACAAGGAACCACGAAGCTATTTACATTCTTTAAACATCCTGGCAAATACTTTGGCTCTTGGGACTTGTTTGGCTCTAATTTATATATTTTAATTTTTAACTTTCTCTTTGATAACCACTAAACTATTCATTTGTCCTCTTCACTACCTACATAGATTTGTTCAGATATGGGAATCATATCACAGTGTCCGTCCTCGGCTCACAATCCAGGGATACAAGTTCAATCCCCGAGCAGAACGGAAACGGTTGGGCACCAGCAGTAAAATAGGTACAAATGAGAGAAGGTACATATTAAAAAACACCCATTTATACGTCCTTGTCGGTTACCTGACATGTCTAAGGTTTCAATGTCCCAAAATCTTCATTTTGGGACATTGTTTTTCCACCTAATATATTTATATTGCATATTACATTTCTAGGCTTTATTGAGAAAGTTTTTATTTGTTTTATAATTGAAATGTACTTAGTAAACCATTATCATGCCAACCACCCTCTAGACACACACCACATCCCACTTTCTGAGTTCAGATTTATGCAACCTACACTGTCCGAGAAACTCTCTGGATGTCTTGTACCCTAATAATTTTCTATCTCTCAAAATTACCATGCTTTGTATATCTAATTTCTCTATACTTAATATTGTCGAGTTCGTTGTCTTTTTTCACATTGGTGATTATTGTCTCTTTGTATTTCAGAACCATCTAAAATATCATTATTTCATAGTATCAAACTGTGCTAGGAGGCAATTGTTTATAATTTTCTCTTTTTCAGGAATTCTTCTGTCTCTGAGTTACCTGTTTTTAATGTCCTATCTATTCCTGCAAGATTAACGACGATAACAATACACACATTACTTTACATTACACATGGGTAAAATAGGCCTCTATGTTGAGGCCTATTTTACCCATTCCCAAATGGGTTTAATATCTCACCGGTGGGTCTGTACACTACTCCAATTAGAAGTTTTCATTTCCTTTGTTCACTTCTACCTATATGGTTTCTGTGTTAGTCTGTGTGATTTGATCTGTTCTCTTACAATGCACTTGGTATCTTATTTTTACATAAATAGCAACTCCATCTCCTTTTTCTATCTGTTCTTTAATTATATAAAAGAGCTTACTTCCCCAGATATACTTCTGGACATTGAGTTGATATTCATCCATGTTTCAGTTAGTGCTATTATTCCTAACATTTCAGTACACACTAGTGCTCTGAGCTCATTCATCCTGTTTCAAATATTTCTGGAGTTGGTATAATTTACTTATAGACATATTTTAAGTGCCGTCATATTATTAAGAATATTCATGTCATTTAATTTTTTTTTATGCCATATGTTTCCCCTTCTTGACCTAATTTTCCCGGTATTGCCACTATTCACTAACTATATAAAGTATTACATAGTGTTTCCTCTAATAAATCTGCAAATACTGCCATTCTCTCTGTCGAAAAGTGACTCCATCCCTTGCATATATGGTGTTCGTGTTAATGCATGAGTACCAGTCATCCACGAATGATACTGTATTATACATGGAATACTTTTCGAGACTTTGGTTTACTCCACTCGCTCACGACGGCCACTCTGCCGACTCTTAATCTTGGCAGAACCCAGCACATGACCAGAACCTGTCCTGTATTTGTTATCAGGAAGCAAATAAACAATGCTACATTCGAAAATGATGCTTGAGGAAAAATTAACAATCTATATAAAAACTAAATTTATGTATTATCTTGTCAAGTATACATATTTATGGTACATATATGGGTTAAGCAGTATGTTGCACCAAAAATTAATTTTTCTTTCTGGTAGAAAGAAACACTTCAGTGGCACAATCTTTCTGGGTGGATCTGGACACTGCAAGGTACCTCTACATAGACAGTCTCTCCCAAATATGTGATTAAAATAATGAGCAAATTATAAAACTCTATTGACTTGGTCTCGAGCATTTAATCTGCACTGGTTTCATAGTAGCCGACATTCCTGACCACCCCTTGGGAGGCCTGAGGGCCGACCACGACAGACCTATGACCATCCCACTATTTCCTCCACTCACCCTGCAAAGTTTGAGAAGGATAACCCCCCCTAGCATCTGGCCTATAGCCTTTGACATCCAACAAATTGCCATCTTCTTTGTATATATCTATATTATAAGAGAGAATCTCTATCTCTCTGTCCAGAGTTGGAGTCCAGATGCTTGGGGCTAGACTCACTCAGGTTTGCAGGGAAAATGGTGTGGAATACGGGAAGGACATAGGCTCGTCGGAGTAGGCCGAAGTTAAATGCTTAAAGAAATATAGTGTGTAACCCACCCACCCCCACCCCCGAGAAATTTTCATGAAATCTGGAATGCGATATCCGTAGAGTGTGAAGTTACTTTGATGCTACCTATATCTACAGGCAGCATAAAACGTCCACCAGACTGTGCGACACAGTGGTTGCAAGGATCAGGTTGGGTTACCGTTACCTGTGGCAGGTGGCTGCAGGTGACGGATCTCCCAATCCTGAGCACTCCAGTTACAAACTCTGTGAGCAGGAACTGCGGCATGATCTCCCACTACATCAACGAATGCCCAGTTATTAGACCATTCAGACCAGTTGGTATGAGGTACCTGGAGCTTTGCAATTACTTTATTCACTCGTATTCTTGAAGATATCCTCACAATGTACCTAAAATTTGCCAGTGCAGGCTACTAAACATATAGCCCTGTATGACTAACCATCCTGCGAGATGGGGACTTTTAATACCACTGCTACCTTATTCACTCTTGTGTTGATGATATCCTCAAAATGCATCCGGAGTCTGCCAGTGTAGACTGCCTATCACATGCCTCTGTATGACTAACCATCCTGTGTGATGGGGATTTTTTAGCATCACGTAGTTAGCGTTTTTGACACACTGTATTCCACTTCATATAGTCTACGGTAGCTGCATTAATGCAGATGTACCTCAAGTATTAATAAAAAAAAAATCCTGCCTTTGTAGAGGTCAGCCCGTTGTTTAACCTGACATTATAGTCTGTGTGCAAATATTATAGAGATAATATTTGCACACAGGCTATCAGTGTCAGGTTAACCAACGGGCTGACCTCCACACAAACAGATCTTGCGGCACTACAACTAGCTACCAGAACATTAAAAAACATAGGAGGAGGAATAATATTTTGTGATTCAAAGCTTTCTCTTCAAGCAATTGAAAACTTCTCCTGGAAGATCGACAGCAAGACCCTCATACTAGCAATTATAAAGGAACTAATCACTGCACAGAGTAAAGGGTTTCGAATCTCCTTTGTATGGATACTATCACATAAATATAATCCATCATAATGACACAGACATTGCAACCAAATTAGCGTGTAACAAAGATGAAGTTAATTAGACCTAGGTATCCCCATCTCTGCTGTCAAGACTATATTGTTCCAAACACTCAGGTCTGATAGGAGAGAAATCTCTGACTCTAAACGACCTGAAAGCACCAGTGTAAAAAACCATGATTTGTTCAGATCAAAAACCTATGTTTATGGGCAGCACAAAACGTCCACCAAACTGTGCGACACAGTGGTTGTCTGGATAAGGTTGGGTTACCATTACCTGTGGCAGGTGGCTACAGGTGACGGGTCTCCCAATCCTGAACACTTCAGATGCAAATTCTGGCCAGGAACTGGGGCATGAGCTTCCACACTACATCACCGAATGCCCAGTTATCAGACCATTCAGATCCATTGGCATGAGGTACCTGGAGCTTTGCAATTACTATATTCACTCTCGTATTATCGGAAATCCGACACACAACATGTTAACATAGCCATTACCAGAATTTAAGGAAAATGGGAGATTTCGTGACGTCATCACATCAAATCCATATTTACATCACGTATATTTAAACTCCACAATTATTCCTTAAACCACAGACTAGTGTTTAAACTGAATAAAAATGTATTCATTAGGACTGGATAAAATAAATAAACCATACACCACACGTTCCCTTGCTACTGTTAAATAAACTCAGAATATTGAGAAAATATTATTGGAACACGGGAGACGCCTTGGGGAAGAGGCCAGTCACGTTCTCACACAGAGCTTATAAACAAAACACAGAGGACTACTCACGACTCGTCAAGGACTGCAAAATATTAGCCAATCAACTGAGACACTGCCATAGTGACCTCTACAACAAAGAGAAGAGCTGAGTATCCGACTTCTTTTATGTCTAGCATTATGAGGCGTTGTAATTTAGATAGGAACATGCCGGGTTATGAGCTGATTTAAAGTCCAAACAAAGTGAGTCTAGCTCTTCACTACACACACAAATATTTCATGTCACGTCTGTACTATATATGTTATTGTCAAATTTTACATTGCATTCATTTTGCAGGTAAACTTGTGATCTGGCGATATTAGCTGTTTACTAACAACATGACCTGTGAGGCTTTCATGCATGATCTGGCTGCCTCATAGTGCCAGCCGCCATTACATGGCACCTGCACCACATGTAGCCACACCTTAACAGATGTTGGAGGAATCATTCACAGCCTAATCTGGCCATATCAACCATACAGCTCAGAACATCTATAACGTTGTACAAATCCATGTTAATTATAATATAAGGTAGTATTAACCAATGTAGTCTAATTACCATCATATGTGGTATAATTTATATCGAGTAAGGTAAATGTTTATAGCTTATTATATAACACCAATTGTGGTATATGTCGTAAACATCCCACCCAACTATGTGTAGGTAAATTCTGGTAGGCTGAATTTAAAATACAGTCCACTTAGAATCATAATTCAATATTGAAGTAAATAAAAAAACACAAAATAGTTTTTTTTTGCAGGGATATTCCTGCGCGGGCTCTAAGCCTCTGGCTGGTCCACTAAGTGTTGCTTGTTTCTCTTTTACTTGGGCGAAGTATGAGTATTTATGACTCGTATGGTCGCTTCAGTAAGATTTTGACAAAATAAATGATCACTAATTAAAAGCAAATACTGCCTGCTAGGATTTGCCGACACGTGTTCTTGAGGATATCCTCACAATGCCCCCAAAATTTGCCAGTGGAGGCTACTAAACATATGGTCCTGTGTGACTAACCATCCTGCGAGATGGGGACTTTTAGTATCACTGCTGCCTGATTCTCTCTTGTGCTCATGATGATATCCTCATCATGTACCCAGAGTCTGCCAGTGCTGTATGACTAACCATCCTGCGAGATGGGGACTTTTAGTATCACTACTACCTTATTCACTGTTGTGTTGATGATGATATCCTCATCATGCACCCAAAGTTTGCCAGTGCAAACTACTGATCACATGCCTCTGTATGTCTAAACCATCCTGTGTGATGGGGATTTGTAGCATCACGTAGCTAGCTTGTTGACACTCTGTACTCCCCTAACTCAGTACCTCTTAACTCAGGGACAAACCTTGTTTCATATATTTGACTTAAATGCACCATGTTCTTGTTGTGTTAATAATAAAAAAGTCCTGCCATTACCTACTCAATTTCTTAATAATATATTTTATAAGAGAAAAGAATGATGGGGGAAATTTGATGGAGAGGGGTGGGGGAGAGGGGGTTAATGGGAGAGGAGGGGGAGAGGGGATTAATGGGAGGGGGAAAGGGGAGGACGAAGGTGGGGACCAATGTGGTAAAGAGGGGAGGGAGAACGAAGGGGGTGAGTAATAGGTGAACTCCTAGACCAAACCCAGTGTGTAGGGGGGAGGGGGGGAGGAGGCAATGCATACAAACTCTAACTTGACTTCAGTTGAAGCCTCAGGTCCCTTAGAATATTCAGATACATCCCAGGCTCCATTGCTTTTGACCATATCGTGGTTTAACGGTCTAAGGCGTGTGCTTGGGAGTATCCAGCGCATAGGTTTGAATCCTCTTTACATTTCCTTCTGATTTTCCCTATCGATACATCATGTTAATGTGATTTCTGTGTGCAGACCCATACAGTTGTTTCAGTCCTTCTTAATAATATAGTTTCTGAGAGAATGGGGAGAGAGGAAGGGGGATAGGAAATACCGGGGAACGACCAATGGGGAAGAGGGAGAGGGGGTAAGAGGGAAGGAAAGGGGCAAAGAAGGGAGGTGTGATGATGGGGTAACCAAAGGGACGCGGACGAAAGGGTCAGAGAGGGTGGGTGGATGTTATTAATTAAGTGTTAGGTCCCCCCATTTCTTTCTCCCAGGGGGGGGGCACCTATAACACTTTAATAGCACAACTCTTCAGGCTCTCCCAGAGTACCGACGGGGCCCCCCCCCCCTCATATATATAATTTTGTACAAAAGGTGAGATAATTATACATGCATTTTCTTTGCAATTTTATTTGCTTAAACATAGAAACAATCCATAAACCAGAACATTGAAAATAAGAGCAAACAGAGATATGTATGTATACACAAGACCAGCACCAAGCCATGATTGGATCAACTCTCTGTATAGCTTTTGCACTTTTAATAACGCACTCTAGAATACCTATAAATAGGTTATTTAACATGGGTGTAATAAAATGGGGTTTTGTTACATCCATGTAAACTTGATTTAATACAAACTGGGATATAGCCATTTATGGCTGACAACATAGTATAATATACACTGCAATAGCCACACAAAGTATACAACATTATATAATGCACACTGGGATAGTTGTATGTTACAGGTTACAAGGTATGCCCGAAACGCTTTGCGTTTATCTTCATGCCCGAAACGCTTTGCGTAATAGTGGCTTTAGGCATTGTATGTACTAGCTCTACCTATAAGTTAAACAATCCTTGTAAATATTTATTGTATGTATGTACCTTACCTAAATAAAATTGTATTGTATTGTATTGTATTGTATAATCAGGGCCATGACAGCCACACATGGCATTTAACCCCATCGGATAACCACATATGGCGTCCAATATTGCACAATGCAAATAGAGATAATCACAAAAGGCTTGCAACATGATCAAATACCTTCACTGAACACTCCATCACAGAGGAGGAGATCCTTTCGTCATACTGAAGACATTTTACTTAGGGAAGATTTCATAAGGCCGAACTTTGTATTATGTGTTGCATACATTTAAATATGTCAAAAAACAAACTTACAGATCAAGTTTCAATAATTAAAATTGATTTATAAGGCCGCACTGAGTTGTTCCCTCCATTCCAGTCATTGCTATCTCGCGCTGATGTCAATTAGGCAGAAAGCAGTAAGTACAAACTGTAGTATTTCAAATAAAATATTAACAATATATTAGGGTGGGAAAAAATATAAATTTGCGAGGATTTTAAAAGCTAAACCCAAGACGATTTAAACCCAATAGGTGATAAATGTATCAGACCAGAGTGAAGCTGAGCGCCTTCAGACCATCAGTATATCAAATATGTCTCAGCATATCACATTTATCAAGTATATCATGACTTTAATTTAATAACAAGTACATCACCTTAATTATAGGATATGCAAACTATGGCCTCAAGAGTGCAAGACTGTTTTCGTACCAACTAGGCCAGAGGAAAACAGTCTCAAGCTTTGGAGACTAGAGACATAATATCTTCTATAACTCACATGTTGTTACCCATCGTGTATGACATGGCTGAAGGGATGCAACGCCTCTCTAGATACCATAGTGGTGTTCCAGGGAAGTCTCAGTTGGGGATCATTTTGGTGCTTTTAAGATCCTTATTATGATCCTCCATAGACTGGTTGGTTGGACCACTGTTACCTTAATATTTGAGGATCGAGTTAGAATCTCCGATGATCCCAGTGAATTATATTTAATTCTACATGTTATCTTGGATTATACTCTATGAAATAACAATTATATATATCTATGGGAAACTATTTAGAGCAGGACGGTGGGATCGAACCATCGTCCTAGTTCATCTCAGACGCGCGATATTTTAAAAGTTACACAGCCTGAAGTCTGCCCAAATTCACTAGAAACTAGCCTTACTTCTCCTCCTCCTGCTCCTCTACCTCCTCTCACCATCAACATAACACTTTTACTCCTCTTCTTGGTCTGCTCCTTGGTTCTCTTCAGTTTCTTCCTTCTCTTTGCCACCCTCTCCTTTCTCTTGCAGTACAAGCTCCTCCTTAACCTGGTCCTTGTTGACCAATTTGCTAATTTCGTTGGCAGTCACGTTGGTAGTCTTACTGTCAGTCTCGCTTGTAGTCTCGTTGGCAGTCTTGCTGTCAGTGTCGTTGGCAGAGTCGCTGGCAGAGTTGCTGGCAGAGTTGCTGGCAGTCCCGTTGGCAGTCTTGCTGTCAGCGTCGTTGGCAGAGTTGCTGGCAGTCACGTTGGCTGCAGCCTGGCGGACTACCAAAACAAAACGATAAGTATTGACTGTGCTGTGTCCTTAACTTTACGTTACTTTATATTATTATTATTAGCTTAGGGTTACTGTATAGTGACCATCATAGACCTTAATGGCTACTGTATAAAGTGACCACCATAGATTTTTATGGCTACTGCATAAAGTAACTAATTTAGATCATTAATGGTTTCTGTACAAAGCAACCATCCTACAACGTTTAGGGCTACTGTATAAAGTGACCATTGTGATTATTGAGAAAATCAGTAGGAGCCGTGTGGAGGATTCGAATTTATACTCTTGGGGTACTCACAAGCATAAGCCTTAGACCACTACACCACGAAATGGGTCAAAAACGCAATTTAACCTGGGACTCAACTTTAGGTTGAAGCTTCAAGAACCTGAAGCTTAAATGTGATTTCTTTGTGCATTGGAATTATTATTATTATTATTATTATTATTATTATTATTATTATTATTATTATTATTATTATTATTATTATTATTATTATTATTATTATTATATAAAGTGCTAATGGCATACTCACTCAATGGAATGCAGCAGCGACAGCCTCCACCTCTGCAGCCGTGGCGATGCCAAACCTCGGTTCTTCTGCATTGATTTTTCCTACACTTACCTAAGTGCTCTGCGCATTCCTCGCTTCTTCTACATTCTGCAGGAGATATAATGGCTCGTGTGTGGTAAACACCGGTGCATATGTGAAGAAGTAACGTAATGACAACGTTCAAGGGACATTGCCAACGTTCCTTCAACGTTAAATTAACTATACTCATGGGCTATCTCGACTCGCTGTTCACGAGGTAGGGTTTATACCACACGTGTGTATGGATGTATATTCACTCAGAGTGAATGTACATGCATATACACTCACTTAAAGTGAATGTCCATGCATACACACTCACTTAAAATGAAAGTCATGCTAAAAAAAGTGTTGCATATGCATTTTGAACTAAAAGGTAGTGTAAGATGCCTGACCCAAGAGTACAAGAGAGAAGAGAAGCAAGCAAGTACCAGACACCAAACCTAAGATGAGAAAAATAGGAAGAGTGTCAGAAAAGAGCCAGACCCAGAGAGAGGAGGGAGAGGAAAGAGAGGAGATAGAGAGGAGAGTCAGGAAAGTACTAGATGTCGGGCCCATGAGTAGGGGTCTGATTAAGAAATGCACATCATAACTTTGGTGTTTTAATGCAATAACTTGTATGTAAAAATAATTTTGGTGTTTTTAATGCAGAAACTTGTAAGTAAAAATAATTTTGGGGTTTTTAATGCAGTAACTTGTAAATAAAAATATTTTTGGTGTTTTTAATGCAGTAACTTGTAAGTAAAAATAATTTTGGGGTTTTTAATGCAGTAACTTGTAAATACAAATATTTTTGGTGTTTTTAATGCAATAACTTGTAAGTAAAAATAATTTTGGGGTTTTTAATGCAGTAACTTGTAAGTAAAAATAATTTTGGGGTTTTTAATGCAGTAACTTGTAAGTAAAAATAATTTTGGTGTTTTTAATGCAGTAACTTGTATGTAAAAATAATTTTGGTGTTTTTAATGCAGTAACTTGTAAGTAAAAATAATTTTGGGGTTTTTAATGCAGTAACTTGTAAATAAAAATATTTTTGGTGTTTTTAATGCAGTAACTTGTAAATAAAAATATTTTTGGTGTTTTTAATGCAATAACTTGTATGTAAAAATAATTTTGGTGTTTTTAATGCAGAAACTTGTAAGTAAAAATAATTTTGGGGTTTTTAATGCAGTAACTTGTAAATAAAAATATTTTTGGTGTTTTTAATGCAGTAACTTGTAAGTAAAAATAATTTTGGGGTTTTTAATGCAGTAACTTGTAAATAAAAATATTTTTGGTGTTTTTAATGCAATAACTTGTAAGTAAAAATAATTTTGGGGTTTTTAATGCAGTAACTTGTAAGTAAAAATAATTTTGGGGTTTTTAATGCAGTAACTTGTAAGTAAAAATAATTTTAGTGTTTTTAATGCAGTAACTTGTATGTAAAAATAATTTTGGTGTTTTTAATGCAGTAACTTGTAAGTAAAAATAATTTTGGGGTTTTTAATGCAGTAACTTGTAAATAAAAATATTTTTGGTGTTTTTAATGCAGTAACTTGTAAGTAAAAATGATTTTGGTGTTTTTAATGCAGTAACTTGTAAGTAAAAATAATTTTGGTGTTTTAAATGCAGTAACTTGTAAATATTTTTTTTGTGTTTTTAATGAAATAACTTGTAAGTAAAAAAATATTTTGGTTATTTAATGCAGTAATGGAAAGGAACTTAGCAAGGAAAAAAAGGTCTCGATGTTTTAATGCTGTAATGAGTTTGAAATTTATTTTATGGTGTTTAAATGCAGTAATTAGGAATTAAAAATATTTATATGTTTTAAAGCAGTATATAAATAGTAAGTATAAAATTATTGTGGTGTTTTTACTAACTAAAACCAGTGAAAAAAGGCCAATTCAAAGTAGAAAGGAAAGTACAATAAAAATAAGTCAGTGTTGAAAATACAAGAAGGTTTATGGAATTAATAAACTCTTAAAACTCTTAGCTAAAGAACTTAAAAGAGCAAATTGCTAAAAAAAGAAAATGTTCCTAACCTTATAATTTCCAAAACATCATATAACTAAAGACCTGGGAATGATTTCTAACAGAATATAGAGACCTTCTTCCCTGCCAGAGTCTTACTTAATATCTTATATCTAAGATATAATTATTAGCAATCTTACTTTTAGGGACAACAATTCCGGGGAAGTCATGGGAGTCGTGGAAAGAACCATGGGAGTCGTGAAAGGAACCATGGGAGTCTTCGAAGGAACCATGGGAGTTAGGGAAGGGACCAGACCAGTCATTTAGAGTTTCCCAACTATTGAGCCCTGCACTGTGATGCTTCGGATTCACTGGTGCTCCATCTGGAAAATATGAAATAAAATTTGTCTGCACGTAAAATCTTTGTTAAATCAACGTTAAATCTACATAGGATCAACGTTAAATTAACGTAGGGTCAACATTAAATCAACAAAGGATCAATTGTAAATCAACGTATAGGTTCAGCGTTAAATCAACGAAGGATCAATGTTAGATCAATGGAAAAATCAATGTTACATGAACGTAAGATTAAATTTAAAGCAATGTAAGTTCAATACTAAATCACTGAAGGATCTGTGTTTTCCATGCTGGTTCAATGCTTTGTTAATATCATGTGCCTGGATTTGCCTCGGGGAACTTAAATGTTGCGTGACTAGAGCCAATGGATGACATGAATCGAGCAGTGGGTGACATGACTCGAGGAGCGGGTGACATGACTCGAGGAGCGGGTGACATGACTCGATCAGTGGATGACATGCATCCATCAGTGGGTGACATGACTCCAGCCAATGGGTGACATGACTCCGGTAGTGGGTGACATGACTGGATAGTGATGTAAAGGTAAAGTTAGTATTTAAAATGTTCTTATTGAGCCCCACGTAATATAATGCAATAAAATAGACATTAAATCATATGATCATGACCCAAAATAAGATAAAATAAAGTTAAAGGTAAAAGCTACATGTACTCAAATTAGGTGAGGGAATTATCAGGAGAAGAGTTAAGCCAGCATAACTTTAAAAGTACATGGGAGGGATATGAGGACAGGACAAGGAGCTGGGATATGAGGACATGACAAGGAGCTGGGATATGAGGACATGACAAGGAGCTGGGATATGAGGACATGACAAGGAGCTGGGATATGAGGACATGACAAGGAGCTGGGATATGAGGACATGACAAGGAGCTGGGATATGAGGACATGACAAGGAGCTGGGATATGAGGACATGACAAGGAGCTGGGATATGAGGACATGACAAGGAGCTGGGATATGAGGACATGACAAGGAGCTGGGATAAGAGGACATGACAAGGAGCTGGGATATGAGGACATGACAAGGAGCTGGGATAAGTCCATAACGTGTGTGTGTCTCGTGATGCAGCAGTCATAATAAACGTTAAAACAACGTTTGTTTTACGTCATTACAACGTTGTATCTACGTCAGCATAAAGTTGCAGTTATGAAGGGATTTGCTGGGGGGTGTTGTATCATTGAAACTGTGTTGCAATTCTCCTTTTCTTCCCTCCCCTCCCCTCCTGATGCTAAGTCAGTGTTGAATTATTGAGTCCTGTGTTGTATTAAGGAAACTTTGTCCCAGTCTTCTCCCTTTCTCTTTTTATCTTTGTTTGCCTCTCATTCTGTGTCGAGCACCATCATCTGAAAGAATATATAAAAAATATAAGAGGTACATCATGTTATACAATAACAGTGTGTGTGTGTGTGTGTGTGTGTGTGTGTGTGTGTGTGTGTGTGTGTGTGTGTGTGTGTGTGTGTGTGTGTGTGTGTGTGTGTGTGTGTGTGTGTGTGTGTGTGTAATAATTGTAGCATTGATAATAAACACAAAAATAAAAATACTATTACTACACAAATAATATTAATAACAATCGACCACATTCCAACCAAACTACAATTATAGCATATTAATACAAAATTCCCCCCAAAATACATCAGTTCTGTGTTCATATTGTATTAAAAAAAATGACATCTGTCGCTTCAGTATACAATAATTTATATCCCCTGATGCGAAAATTAGCAAATAATTGACTTGTATTCACATGTATCCATGTTTTAGTAATCACAATAAAGACTGCATAAATGGCATTACTTATAATTTTTTATATGATTTTATTTATATATTTTATATGAGGCTAAAATACCATTTTTACTATTTGTATTTTAGACTACTATTTTTTTCTATTTATTGGAACTGTTGTGTTAATATGACTGAAATCCTTCTCGTTTGTTCAAAAATTTAGTCTCAAATCTTTTAGATTATTTACTTTAGCATTCATAATATTTTAAAATTTGTTTTTTATATTTGCATTTTATAACACATCCAGACCTTTTACAGAGTAAAATTTAGCAAGCATTCAAAAACAAGCATTTAAAACTAGTAAAACATTCACTTTGGTCACTAGGAGCCACGAACACTCGACCTTCGGCATGGGAGACATTCGCTCTATCAACTGCGCTACTTGGCTAGTCGTAAAATCGTTTAGTAAGCATAACGAATAACTCTGCTTTACTGACCACGCAAATACTACCACTTCTGCTCTGAAAACATGCAGCCACACTTAGGATGCATATTATACTTATCACAGAGTTCATTATATTTTTTTTATTAAATATATCTGCATTATGTCCACAATGATGGCGCAATTGACTATCATGCACTACTCATTCTTGAGAAACATTCCATAGTATTATGGTAAACATTTCTTAATAATACTTTTTCTGCACTCTTGCAGCAGCAACAGTGCAGAAAACTAGTAATATAATATAAAATAATACTTTTTTCTGCACTTTTCATCGTCAATAATTTCGTACAATTATATTGCAATTAACATCAATTTTCATAAATGATCCTGTTATCTAATATTATTTTACCAGTCCTCCATCTAGCTTTGTTTTACAGACTACCCTTGCTGTCTCCTGTCTCGAGGAGACAGGAAATGAATCAATAAGTTAGCGAGAGAAAAGCTCAGTGACATACCTCACCGGAAGGTGCGCCGTTGCTGCCGGAAAGCTGTTTTCCAGCCGGTCCGGACCCGGATCTGACCCTTCTGTCTGGCTTGGCGTTCACGAGGAAGACACAGAACATCAGTAAATATATAGACTTCATGGTGATGTCGTCTGACTGTTGCTGCTTGGCTGTTTGACGCTGCTGCTGCTGCTGCTAAAGACTGGCTTTCACAGCAGGTAATATACTGGGTAATAGATGCAAACACTGTGCCACTTCCCAAGTATTGATCACAATGATCGTCTCTGTGGCAGAGTGTGACTTGGGGGCTTATGATACCTGTAGCAGACACCCATGCAGTCATATATATATATATATACTCCCAAAGTCCCCCCACAAAACACCTGTTGCAAAACAAGTGTTTCAAGTTGGACGTGCTACAGATACCCAAATCTTTCCTGGTATATTTTTGGATACTTCCACGCAGGTAATCGTATGGTTTACCGTGGTCTGCGACGAGGAAGCCTGTTCACATCTGGCAAAATATCCAGGAGTAATTTCAATTCGTAATTTCAATAGCGTCGAATTAACGTTATTCTTGGATATGGTGCTCACTGGGTTTAAACTCATCGAGGTTCAGCAGAGACCAATCTTCTGACCTCCCATCTGATGCCCGACTAAAAACTGACAGGGTACTAAATGAATGTAAAGAAGAGCATAGTCAATTATTGTATTTCTGAATTATTAGTTAGCTACCGTGACAGAATTGTGGTGGTTTGTGAATGTAACTCCAATATTGTAAATGAGAAAGTGATGACTGGCATTCAAAGCCCGTCAAATTAGTTGAATGCCCATTGAGTAAATGATGTGTTATCGTAAAATCTCATGCCCTCATCCATCATGTTCGTATGTGCTCGTTGATTGATGAATATAGAAATAATGATATAAGAATTGTTCCTGAACAAATAGCCTGGATGTGTCACAATGGAAAATAATTATGATATTCTGGAGATATATATATAAGAATTTATCACCAAGAATGTAAAAGTTTGGGGAATTCCTTGCATGTGTATTGTAGCTATTGTATTATTATTTATGAATATATATTCATAAATATACATAAGTACAAATTCATATAAGCATTTTTATGTACTTGTGTGTACCTTTAGTATATTATTACCTTTGTATATATTATACCTTTGTATTTATTATACCTTTTAGTATATTACCTTTGTACAGGAAGATACATATATGTTCATCACCCAGAATGTTAAGTAATATGTCAATTGTTTGAGATGTGTGTAAATATAAGAACTTCTTGCATTGAACGATTGCTTATATATATATATATATATATATATATATATATATATATATATATATATATATATATATATATATATATATATATATATATATATATTGAAACAGTAATTTCCGTAAGTACTTTCGTATATTAATACATCTTCACTCCTTCTGAAGATGTATTAATATACGAAAGTACTTAAGGAAATTCCTGTTTCAATTTTCCTCCGTGGTCTGACACTGTCACATTTTTAATCACGTGTTTATTTTCGTGACACACACACACACACACACACACACACACACACACATATATATATATATATATATATATATATATATATATATATATATATATATATATATATATATATATATATATATATATATATATATATATATATATTGGTAGCAGTCTTTTCTGTAGACATATATTATTAAATATGACCAAAAAAGTAAGATTAATAATTCTAACACGAATTTTCTCGATCTTTCTTACGTTTCTTTTCACTGTTGATGGTAATTCAAAAATCAATTCTCCAAAATTCATTTTTATTTCTAGTCTGACGCGACACTTGAGCGCGTTTCGTAAAACTTATTACATTTTCAAAGACTTTAGTTTACACACACACACACAACTTTAACTAAATAGAGCTTTAAGCATCTTCGAGTTTTTATACCTACATTTGGGTGAGGTGACATGTTACAATAGTTTTGGATGAGGTGAAAATAAACTTTTAACACAAGACAGGACACGAAACAATGGGTATTAAAGGTAGGTAACTGCAGAAGGCCTATTTTTATTGGCCCATATTTCTTGATTTCCTGTACTTGTTAGTTTTCTGGGTCTCCCTGAAGGTGGCCGCCCCGCCTCCCTCAGCTGTGCTGTAAGGTAGATAGGTATCAGCCAATGTGGATGCACACGTGTAGTCCCACACGACCTGTTTACCTTCCCTCCACGGCTGCAGGGTGACTCCATCTGGGCGTTTTTGGCTGTTGTCAGGCCTGCACAACTGGGGTTCCCTTTGTGCTGGACACCAAACTTCTCTTGATGATGTCATTGACTGCTTCATGTCTGGCAATCTTTCCCTGTGTCTTACGACAGATGAGACCATGGCTACCGTATTGGTCCGCCCGTGCATGGCCGCAAATACACCGGTGTTCGGTGGAGATAGGGGCGGCAAGGCGCAGAGCAACACCAATATATATATATATATATATATATATATATATATATATATATATATATATATATATATATATATATATATATATATATATATATATATATATATTTATTTATTTATATATGTATATATTTATATATATATATATATAAAATAATATAAAAATATAATATATATAATAAAAAAATATATAAATATAAATATAAATAAATATAAATATATAAATAAATATATAAATATATAAAAAATAATATAAATATAATATATATAATAAAAAAATAATATAAATAATATAATAATATAAATAATAAAAAAAAAATAATAGGGGTGGTAGGAGAGGAAAAGATTAAAGTATTCAGTGAGAATCCACAAGATCTTCTCTGAACACTATTTATTTTCTTCTTCGAGGATGTGGGTCCCTTTAATTAAACCAGTGGTGGTACCCCTAAATATATATATGTATATATATATATATATATATATATGTCGTACCTAATAGCCAGAACGCACTTCTCAGCCTACTATTCAAGGCCCGATTTGCCTAATAAGCCAAGTTTTCCTGAATTAATATATTTACTATAATTTTTTTCTTATGAAATGATAAAGCAACCCTTTTCTCTATGTATGAGGTCAATTTTTTTTTATTGGAGTTAAAATTAACGTAGATATATGACCGAACCTAACCAACCCTACCTAACCTAACCTAACCTATATTTATAGGTAAGGTTAGGTTAGGTAGCCAAAAAAAGCTAGGTTAGGTTAGGTTAGGTAGGTTAGGTAGACGAAAAAACATTAATTCATGAAAACTTGGCTTATTAGGCAAATCGGGCCTTGAATAGTAGGCTGAGAAGTGCGTTCTGGCTATTAGGTACGACATATATATATATATATATATATATATATATATATATATATATATATACATATATATATATTGGTAGCAGTCTTTATTGTAAATATATGTTATTGAATATGACCGAAAGGGTGAGATTAATAATTCTAACACGAATCTTCTCAATATTTCTTACGTTCTTCTTCACTATCGAGGGTAATTGATAAAGTAACTCTCCAAAATTCATTCTTTTTATTCACTCTATCCACTATGATAGCGGATAGAGTGTATCGTGATCCGGCTTGTACTCCTCTTGACATACCAGAAAACATACTGAGGAAGCTGCTCCAAGCCTGCACTAAAGAGGCACCCTTCTCGAGTCCAGATGGGCACATATATAAGCAAGTAGATGAGGTCGCCATGGGTTCTCCCCTAGGTGTTCAGTTTGCGAACTTCTACATGGGCACCATCAAGCACAGGGTCCTAGTTGACACGGACTTGAAACCCGTCATATTCTGCAGGTATGTTGTTGACATTTTTATGCAGGTAATTGATGTCAGACGTCTGCAGCAGCTGAAGGAAGCATTCGAGCAGAATTCTGTGTTGAGTTTGACGTACGAGATGGAGAATGATAGAGAACTGCCTTTCCTAGATGTAACAGTCACGGAAAGGAACGGAGGCTTCCACACTGCAGTCTACACTAAGGAAACAAACATAGGAATGTGCCTCAATGCCAACAGTGACTGCCCAGACAGGTACAAGAGTGATGTCAACGCTTACGTCGACCGGGCTCTCAGCCACAGCTCAGGATGAAGGCAAGTCGATGAAGAACTCTGTAGGGTAAGGCAGGTCCTTGTTAACAATGGCTTCTCTAACGGTTTTGTTGAAAACGTCATAAAAAGAAAAGTGAAATGTCATGCAACCTCCGAAGAGTCAACTAACACAACACTTGTAACCCCAATTAGACTGTTTTACAAGAACTTCTTTTCGACGGCTCATAAAACGGAGGAGAGGGGCCTGAAAGACATTATTGATAGGAACGTTATCCCTACAGACAAAAATCAGAAAATACAACTAACAATCTGCTACAAAAACAAAAAAAACGGCCAACCTTCTCACGAAAAACTCCCCAGACACCAAGCAGAATTCCTTGAAGGAACCCAACGTCGTCTATGCCTTCACATGCCCGCTTGGGGAGTGTAAGCCCCAAAGAACTCAGTATATAGGTAAGACAGCAACGTCTCTATCTAGGCGATTAACTATACACAAACAACAGGGCTCCATCAAGGAACATATAATCTCTTCTCACAACCAGACCATCACCAGAGAAATCTTAGGAAGCAACACAGAAATCATCGACAAATACAGCGATAGCAGGAGACTCGACATCAGCGAGGCACTACACATCAAAACCTCAACACCAGTAATCAACATCCAACTAATGCACAACTATATTCTACCAACTTCAAGATCCCGAACCAATATGGAAGCAGCAAGAGGAAGTATGGGCTAATAGGCCTTCTGCATTTACTTCCATTGTTTATGTTCTCATCCCATTGTTTCGTGTTCTGTCTTATGTTTCACCTCACCAAAATCTTTTGTGCCATATCACCTCACCCAAAAACGAGTATAAGTATGAACGTATTTTGTGTGTTTATTAAGTCTTTGAAAATGTAATAAAGAATTACGAAACGCGTTTAGGCGTCAGACTAGGAATAAAAAGAATGAATTTTGGAGAGTTACTTTATCAATTACCCTCGACAGTGAAGAAGAACGTAAGAAATATTGAGAAGATTCGTGTTAGAATTATTGATCTTACCCTTTCGGTCATATTCAATATATATATATATATATATATTGTACCTAGAGTAGCCAGAACGCATTACTCGGCCTACTATGCAAGGCCCAATTTGCCTAATAAGCCAAGTTTTCCTGAATATATATATTTTTCAATTTTTTCTTGTGAAATGATAAAGCTATCCATTTCATTAAGTATGAGTTAATTTTTTATTA